CAGTGTTGGTGAAGTGGGGTCAGCTCTGGGGGGTTACAGTGTTGGTGAAGTGGGATCAACTCTCGGGAGTCACAGTGTTGGTGAAGTGGGGTCAGCTCTAGGGAGGTCACAGGTGTTAGAATTTTTTCTTCCAGGATATCTCAGTCCAAGTGACATGGCATTGGTGTCGAGTCTTCCTTTGTTAGTGACTCTTTTACAACATGGTACTTGTGTTTTATTTCTGGGACGTGTAATAGTCATGTGTTTATGTACCACTGTGCTCCTAGCTTTCTACCTGGAGTTCAGCATTGGTGGCTTTTGTAAAAAGATTATCTGCATTCCTCTTTTACCTGGAATGCTGCCCTGTAGCTTTGCTAGATGTCTTGTTTGATTGTGAAATTGCCAAATGAAATAATTAAGGCAGGAGATGTTATTTTGACTTTGTGTTTTAAAGCTTAAGTGACAATGGAAACGGAGGAGGAGTGGATGGGGGGGGCAGAGGGGAGGTGGGGGGAGGGACTGGGAGGAGAGAAAGGCAGGGAAACTGTGGTTGGGATGTAAAATAAATACTTAAAAAAATCATAAAGCTTCAGTGCCATGCACGGCAAGCAGGACAGGAGGATCAGGGAACTAACTAGCTTTTTCTAGCCTGAAGTCCAGTGTTCAGTGTTTGGAACAGAGCAGCTCTGTTCACGATCTACGACTTCTTGGTTCTTTTTGTGTTTGTTTTGTTTTGAAAAAGGGTCACCCCCAAATATCCCAGGTTGGCCTTGAACTCACGCTAATCCTCCTGTGTCAATCTCACAAATAAGTTTAGTTCCTTTACTCTTGCTGAAGGCCTTCAGTATCATGATAAATTCCCCTGAACACTATAAAATGTGTGGTAGTTCATAGATGAACTTTCTCATGTCCAGTGAATTAAGCATGGCTTCTGTGCTTATGGTGATACTATTGGTGCATCTAGAAGACCACTGTTCAGTGTGGAATCTGAGTTTGGAAGGTTCTCACGTCACTGGGCATTTGTACCCATTCTGGCATTCATCTTCAATTCCAGGAAAGTGTTTTAGCACTCGGTGTTTATCAAACTAGATGGCACGACCCCTTGGTACTTGGCGGCCTATACAGAAGTGAACCCCAGGAATACTTTAGCAAGAGTTACTTCCATAAAGACAGAGGCTGCTTAGCTCTGCACAAACACTGTTGTAACCCTTGACCTGTGTTTTTCTTCAGCTCACACTAGCTCTTCTCCAAGCCGCTGTGTCTCCATTCCACTCTCCTCGGCTCATGCTTGCTTGAAATCTAACATTTGTGTTATAACCGAGGCCATAACATTTTCATAAGTTAGCTGGAGCTTACTTCTATGACAAATATCTGGAAAAAATAAACTTCACTTGTAGGTTAGCAAAGCAATGCAGTGTGTCTCTGCCTTTCTTAGGTTCTCATTTAACAGGGTGAAGAGTAACAAGGTTTTTTCCCTTGATGTTGTTTTGCTTAAATTTCCCATCAGTATTTACCTTCTCCCCAGATGTGGATGGTGGAGAACGTCATCCATTGCTTCTCTCTCGTGCCTTTTCTGTCTGCTTCAATCCTCATCTGCTGACTGAACTTCTACACACGTCGTTCCCAGACTTTACAGGGCTTCCTTTCAGCGGCTAAAATTTTCTTTTCTTTTTTAAATCTTCTGTAAGGTATACATGTTAACTGAATTCTATTTGAATACAAAATAATTTTAAGGAAATCGTGAGGGAGTTTTTATTGTATTTTCATACCTCTAGAGCAACTTTTGGAGCAGAGTCTTACCTCGCGGAAACCTACCTCTTCCCTGTGTTTGTTTTGAACTGTGTGTGTTGGATGTAATGGGTCTGCTGGGTTACTCTCTAGGGTAGAACCTCATCAACTTCTCCCACCCACTGCCCCTTTTCACCTAAGACATTTCTTCGTGACCCCCATAGATAAGTATATAAAATTGTAATGCACGCCAAGAATTTGTACTTCAAAACAATTTTTTGCCAAAATAATTTTTCCATTTGTCACTGATTAAAGCAAATTTACATATTAATGAGATGCTTGTGCTTACTTATTTTTACAGAAAGAATTAAGTCTTGGCTGGGTATTTGATACTGGATGTCATGAAGCATCTTTAACATTTTTCATGACTGATGGCAACTTTGATCCTCAGTGTAGAGATTCCTCCTTCACCAAGCTACATAGTACAGAATGGTAGAAGCTTGTGTAGGGCCATTTCAGAAATGATTGGAAATTCTGTCCTAATCCCAAGCCAAAATTCATTTAATTACCTTTCATAAAAAAGTTAGCAACTTAAATAGCAATTTTAAATTCAAATGTTCTAACAATACAATCCAAAGATACATTCTTTTGATATGTTCATGCTAAGGAACAACAGTAGGAAAATCTCGAAGCCTCTGTTTCCTGTAATTACTTTGTATCACAGAAAAACACAGCAGTTTATAACATACAGTGATCTTACATCAGCGCCGACGACGTGGAACAGGCAGCATCGGTCAGGGCTGCGTGGTGACTACATGCACAGTGTAAAGTGTGTGTGTTGTGTGTTCAGAACGAAGCTGAGGAGACATGCTGCCTTGCAGGGACACTAACCTGTCAGAATCACCATACATTCAGTTTAACTGCGAATTGTGTTGGGGTCTTTGCATGTTCAGAAATCTTTTAACCTCCATGCACTAAGTTATGTGACCTCATATAAGGTTATGAACCATAATTTATGACACTGTATTCTGAAGAGCGTGTGTGTGTGTGTGTGTGTGTGTGTGTGTGTGTGTGTGTGTGTGTGAGTGTGTGTGTGTGTGTCTGTGTGTCTGTCTGTCCATCTGTCCTGGGAAGTGGGAAGTAAAATTAGAGAAGAACAAAATATTTTCACTTATCTTTTTTTCTTTTCACGTGTGTTTAATTGAGTTTATGGGACTAATAGTACGTTCATGTTTTACTCAATCATTTATTTTATGTGTGTGAGTGATTCATTCACATGTCTGCCTATCTGTACCATGTGCATGCCTGGTGCCTGCAGAGGCCAAAAGAAGGTATCGGATCCCCAAGCACTGGAGGCACAAACGGTTGTGAGCCTCTGTATGAGTACTGGGAATTGAACCCAGGTCCTCTGGAAGAGCAGCCAGTGCTCTTAACCACTGAGCATCTCTCCAGCCCAAGGAAAAATAGTATTTTAATGTTTACACTGTAAGTAATTATAAGTTTGTCCCCCAAATATCTCACTTGGTGTGTCAGTTTGTCACTCATCTCTTGTCCTTCTGTCCCCTTTCCTTGTGTCCACAAACCGATCTTTGTAGTAGTTTCAGAGAACCACTGTACTGCCTAAAGCCCCCGTGAAGTCAACAACCACAACCTCCTGCTTCATCAGGGAGACATGAGGCTCATAAAACATCTGCTGTTTGGTCAGCTGAAATTCACTCCATGTGCTCAATCTTAATGTTCTTTCTCTTACTTATACGTAGGCTATTAGTTATCCTATCACGTAAGTTGTTAAAACCAGTCATTGGTTCACATATAATTGTCCAGGCCTGTTGTCCTGATTAGTATAATGTGGGAGGCAGAGAGAACAAATTTGTAAATACATGCCTAATCTGAAAAAAGGTGAAGAGGAAAATTAATTTTACAAAAACACTCTTTTTTTGGTTAAAAAAATAGCTTAAAGTGTGCATGCATGTGTGTGTATGTATACACACTCATTTTTTACATAACATTATTATTATACATACTTTGTGAATTTCTTACATAACTTCCTGAGTTACTTTATAAATAAATGTCACATTGAAAAGAAAAAAATTAGGTTTTTTCAGATAGAGTTTTACACTCCATCCTGGGCTGACCTAAAGCTCATCAAGTATCCCTCAAATTTTAGTTGATCCTCCTGCCTCACTGACCATGTGCTGGGACTACAGATGTGTGCCACCATTTCCAGCTAATATTTGTATTTACATTTGATGATACCATAAACTGATGGGATGTCAAACAGCATAATTCTTGTTATATCAATCTTTTGAACATGTTGACAGGGAAAAGGCGCTGGCTGCTTCTACCAGACTGCTTCTTTGTGGCATCCTTTGCTGTTTCGTGTTGTCTCTGAAGGACAATAGAAATGCTGTTAGTCATATAAGGTTGACACACGTTCAAGAAGGCATTGTTGAATGGTGGGGAAGGAATGTAATGCTGAGTAACTCTGGGTTTGGAAGAAATAATAATTTTTTAAAGATTTATTTATTAATTATGTACACAGTGTTCTGCCTGCATGTTTGGTGAATGCCAGAAGAGGGCACCAGATCTCATTACAGATCGCCGTGAGCCACCATGTGGTTGCTGGGAATTGAACTCAGGGCTTCTGGAAGAGCAGCCAGTGCTCTTAACCTCTGAGCCATCTCTCTAGCCCCGAAATACTAATTTTGAGGAACAGTTGCATTCATTTACACATCTGTGTGAAATGTAATAAGTTGCAGATGACTTTGAGTTATATACAGACAGTTATACCGTTGAAGATGCAGACTTTAAGCCCAGGTGGCATGTACCTGCAGTCCCAGCTACTTGGGAAGCTGAGGCAGGAGGATCACTTGAGCCAGGGGGTTGAGGACAATGGGAACAGCCCTGTAAGCCACATCTGCAAAAGTTGTCAGGGAGAGAAGCCAAACCCAGAGGGCATGGATGCTGTCCGCACATGGAGTCTGAATACCACCCAGTTCCTCTAGATTCTAAGTTGCTGAAGAATTCTAAAAGGAAGGAAGGAAGGGAGGAAGGGAGGGAGGGAGGGAAGGGAAGGGAAGGAAGGAAGGAAGGAAGGAAGGAAGGAAGGAAGGAAGGAAGGAAGGAAGGAAGGGTGGGTAAAATGGCTCTATGGGCTTCACTTCAAGCCTGTCTACTCCACATTCACAATCTGAGAAGTAGAGGCCTTTTTCCTTCATTCCAGCTGGGGACCTTGTGTTGTCCACATCGTGTATGGAACAGATTCGATCTTTATCTGGACTTTTATCCTATAGGTGCATTGAGAATTATACGGGAGCTCGTTGCGAAGAGGTGTTTCTCCCCAGTGCCAGCATCCAAAGCAAAAGTAACCTGTCGGCGGCTTTCGTGGCCCTGGTGATCCTGGTCACGCTCACCATCACAGCACTCTGCTTTCTGTGCAGGTAACCGAAGGGGGACAGACCCTCACAAAGAAGAAAGGAATGCACAAGGCAGCGGCCTCCACGTAACCAGCACACTCTCTACTTCCAGATGTTTCTCCAGATGCTGCTTTGTTCTGGCATTCTCTCTCCAATACAATTTTGTTATAAACTGATGAGTCATTTTAAAAGCATCTTAAGCAATGCAACCTGTTCCTTGTCACTGACGACATCACTTGCCGTGATGCCTCTAAGCTAGGTGAACCCACACTCACTACAGAAATCATCTTTATGTCACCCAAGTCTTTCAGTGAGGTTTTTTATAAATAAGTTTTGAATATTACAGGCAAAGTGACTCGTGCAGGGCTTTAGAAGCTAAAGGCACATGGCTGATGTCTGGTGTTAGCCTTTTCTTTGGCATCTTTTATGTGCCAGGCATAAGGGACATAGCGGCCAACAAGGTAGAAATATTCCCTAAATTCATGGGCTGCTTAAATCTAGAGAGAGAGAGAAAGAAGCAGAAAGTTAAATTGGAGAAACTGGTAACTTCTAAGAGAAACCAAAGGGAAATTTACGTGTTGCAAGGCCATAGACATCCAAGATTACTTGCATTGATTCCTTTTTTACTACTCTTCAATGTTTTTGAAATTTTTTTTAAAAAGTGAATATGAAATTAAGTTTAGTAGTTATTTTGTATTAACTAGTAAGTATTAAACATGCATTGGTTACTCTCATATGGTTATGAAAATGGGGTTGATGATGGTCATCGTAAGACAATCCAAGTTGGCTTGAGAAGTTAATATTCCAAGAATAACATGTAGATAAAATAATATTTCATAAACCTTGGTTAAAATTTGGAGGGTCTTTGGCTCTTTTAAAATGTGTATAATTATGTGTTTTATTTCAAAGTATTATTTAAGCAACCCAGTAGATCTAATCTAATTGTTGCATCTGAGTACTTGAGATACAAAAACTTACAGGCCCATCGAATCAGATTGTGTTTCCCGTGTGATGTGCCACTCCCATGTGCCCTTCCTCAGTGTGACCTTGCCACTCAACCAGCAAGAGTTAGACTTTAAGGCTGGGGCTGTGTAGTTCAATGATAGTGTGCTTGTCTGGCAGGCATGAGGTTCTAGGTTCAAGCCATTGAATTGTGATAAGAAACAGTTTATTTCTCTAGACAGGCACTATATGATTGCCCCAGTCATGAGTATCGGGTAAATGATATAATTAAGAACACAGCCTTTAAATGGGCTAAAAGCTCCATCTTAGAATCATCCAGAATCTTATAAGAAACCCAAGCAGATTAAATAGCCATAGCTGGACCTCTCAGCAGCAACTGCTAGCCATCTGAATGAGGCTCCCTAGACGTCCTACCTGTTGGAACTTGTAGTTGGCTTGTGTTATCCACTGGTTGCCTGCAATCATAAGGAGTCCTCCAGGAGGGAAGCTCAGTGGTCAGCTAGCTAGAAGCCATGACAAAGTATCAAATGAGTCATCTTGGGAATTTACCCCTGAGTAATGATCTTTTCTTTTTTTTTAATGATCTATTCTTATTCTATCACTCTACGTATGTTTTCCAGCAAAATACACCAAAAGATCAGCTTGACTGATTCTAATTTCTCGTTATTCTCTCTAGTGTTGACTTGGAAATAGATTTTCATCTTCTATTGATTGGTTATTGGGCTACTTTGTGTAATAAGGCCTCTAGCTTTGACTGTAGTAACTATCAACTAACTCACTGTTGCTTGAATTTGTTCTTAAAATTTCATATATTAGAAACAAGTTCCCAAAGTCCTCTCTTAATGGTGTTTGAAATGTTGGATCTTTGGGTGACGGAGGCTCAGTAGAATGAAGGAATGAGCCCTTTAATGCATAATAGAAGATGGAGGATTTATCATCGAAAGTTATTAAAGTGAGCCCTGTCTGACTGGCTGGTCCTGTCCCACAGTGTGGTACCCAGTGCCATGCCATGACCCAGTTAAGACAGGCCTTACCGGATGCTGAACAGTTGTCAATGCTGTAGTCTTAGACATTTCAGCATCTGGAACCCTAAGTTAAATGAACATCTGTTCTTTGTAAATTACCCAGTCGTATAGCAACAGAAAAAGATTGATGCAACCGTAACAGTTTAATGGCTTAAAAAGAAAGGCTTTCCAATTCATAGTGTATAATCATTCTGTGTTATAATATGGATTGGAGATGGTTGTGCTAAACATTGTCATGAGGACTTAAACTACAGAGCAGCCACCACAAATGCTGTTGGTTGCGTTGCCAGAGGGAAGGAAAGAAAGTTCCAGAGTGCCTCACACTCAAAATGATCTGTCCCAGAAGTGACACAGACACTCTGACAGAAAGAATCCCTTTCACAGGCCTACGCAATTACAAAAAGTGTTAGTAGATGTAGCTTACCCATATGCTGCAAGGTAGAAAGCCAGAAGCAGGTCTCACAGAGTGACTAAAGAATTCATAAGGGAATCTAATAATCCACTGGGACTTGCTAAGAGTAACTTGTGTATTTTTTTAATACATAGAACTTTAATATTTCTACAGTTGGCTGGGCGGTGGTGGAGCACGCCTTTAATCCCAGCACTCGGGAGGCAGAGGCAGGCGGATCTCTGTGAGTTCGAGGCCAGCCTGGTCTACAAAGCGAATTCCAGGAAAGGCACAAAGCTACACAGAGAAACCCTATCTTGAAAAAACAAAAAAATAAAAATAAAAATAAAAATAAAAAATATTGCTACAGTTGTTGCAACTGGATTCCTTTACTAACCTTTGAATTTGTAAAGGTAACAGTGTTATATCCCAAATGTACTGCATGCCATTGAGCCACAAGTTTTCATAAAAGAGCAAAGCACAGTTGCAGACTGGAGGCAGAATTCAGGAATATTCTGATCTAAAGCTAGATGTAGTGGCTTATGTTTGTAATTTCAGCTCTTGAAAGTCAGAGGCAGGAGGATGGCTGTGAGTTCAAGGCCAGTCTGAGTTATATAGTGAGTTTCAGGCCAGCCTGGTTTATAGAGTGAGACCCTGGCACAAAAAGAGGAAAATTCTAATCTGAAGTACCCTATACCATGCTAAATGATAACTTTTGGCCCAGGCATAGTGGCTTACACCTATAATCCTAACACTTGAGAGGCTAATGCAGGAGGTTTGCAGTGAGTTCCAGGCAAGCCTGGATACCAGGGGAAACCCTGTCTCAAAAAGAAGCCCAAAGCCTTCTCTTTAGGGTAGAAAGTATAGGCATGTAGGTATGAGAACAGAAGACTATATAAGAAAGATTGGTGGTCATTGAAAAAGAAACCTCTAAAGCCAGGAGTGGTAACACATGCCAGTGGTCCAAGGCTAGCCTCTACCACTTAGAGAGACCTCGCCTCAAAAAACAAAGACAAAAAGAAAAGAAGGACACCTCTAATCACAAATGTTAAATAGGTTTTCATTCTGAGCCCATGGTATTTCTAGTGTCTAGTGGGGGAAAGGTTAAGTGTATAAAGCAGTCTAGACGGTAAATATTCTCAACTGATTGACAGAAACAAGTGCAAATCGGCTCTTGAAGAAGTCAAGAGCTTCTTTACCTTAAAGCGCACCTCACAGTATAAGATTACTCACTGACATGGGAGAGAGGCACCACTAATTAGGACAAATCTTAGGAAAACTGCATAATCTCTTCTGATTCTGAGCACATTTTCCAGCATAATGTGCTAGGGGGTAGGCAAGCTGATTAATTCCCTTATTAGTCACTGTACTGATGATTTGGAAATAGAATTTTCATTTGATAGTGATTGGTTATTGAGCTACTGTGTGTAATATTAGCCCTGACAATCTCGATCTGGCTGTGGTAACTCTGAGTAACTCTGAGTTTGCTATGGATTAAATGTATTCTCCAAATTTCATGCTACCACTAAGAGTAGAATCAGATATTCAAAATATTCTTTTGTGGGGAGAATCAAACCCATGATATAAAATAAGTATGTTTAATATGTGTGAAAAAGAAATGGGAGCTGGAGAGTGGTTAAGAGCTGGAGAGAGGGCTAAGAGCTGGAGAGATGGCTAAGAGCTGGAGAGTGGTTAAGAGTACTTGTTGCTCTTACAGAAGGCCTGGGTTCAGTTCTCAGCATCCACATGTTGGCTCACAACCATCTATATCGCTAGTTACAGAGGATCTTACCCCTCTTCTGGACTCCTTGGGCACCAGCATGCAAGTAGTGCATTTACATACATGCAGGCAAAATACTCATAGACAAAAATAAAATATAAATCTAAAATTAAAAAACAAACGATAGGTTTACAAAAGAGCAGATTTCGCAAAGACCAATACAGAAGTTGAAAAAATAAAATTAACATTAAAAAATTCAATATATTTAGTTCAATGTTAAGTTTAGTTTGTGTTTTTAAGCAGATTAGAAACAGTAAGGGGAAGGATGAAGGAAACATGGAGAGAGATGAATGAATGAAAACGTACCCCAAACCTCAGGAACAAAAGAACTGTAAAATATTAAGGAAAGATCAAGAAACATGGCAAACAAAGAGACTACGTCTCACTCTTTTACTTTTCTGGAGTTTGAGAGAGAAAAGACTTGAGGCAGAGGCCGTGTTTGAAGAGGATAATAGCTGAGATGTTCAGAAATTTGTAAGTTACCCACAGACTCAGCAAATGTCAAGCAGATTAAAGAAAAACACATGTGCGTAGCACAGCCTCATAAAGCACGGAATCCCTACTCTAAAGAGAAAATGCTAACATATAGACATTGAGATTGGCATATTGAAAAAAAATAAAGCACCACATTTCATTTTCATTTTCACATTCACATTTCAATTTTCATTTAATATTTAAAGCAGTTCTAGGTGAGGTTATAATCAGATGACCCAAAGCTGATGGTATTTTCCATTTGTGTTTCTCACCTCTTTGATGCCAGGAAGGGCCACCTTCAGAGGGCCAGTTCAGCCCAGTGTGAGATCAGCCTGGTGGAGAGAACCAATCCCAGTGCCCACCACAGTGAGTACACTCAGAATGGCATGTTTAGGCCTACGGGTGAGATCTTTGCTGTTCTGCGTATGGATTTGTGTTCACAGGCATTCAAAAACGGGCGATCCTAAGAATTTTTCCATGGATTTTGTGTTAACCATTAATTTTGCACATGAGGATAAATTTATTAGCAGTGTGAAAGAAGTAATATTTTTCTCAAAATAAGTATGTGAAATTATATGAATTCCAACCCTTGAAATGATGCCATCAACTATAATGTGCTAGGGCAGCTCTGAGGAACAGGGTTCTAGAAGCATTCTGATGTGGGCTGTGCTGGGAAGGCAGGGGTCATGGGGGGTTACCTTAGGAGTGAGAGAATCTTTGGGGAAACTGTAGTTGAATCAGTGTTTTTAAGCTATCTTGAGGTTTCTGCCTAAACCAAAACAGCAGGCACTGGATTTCCTTCTTCTGACTTGAAAACAATGAAGAATGGACAGACTGTGTGAAGCAACAGTTGACCTCTGGTCTCAATATGCATTTTCATCTATGTGCGCATGCACACACACACACACACACACACACACACACACACACACACACATTAAAATAAATCTTAAAAAAAAAAAAACTGAACTTGGTGGCATGCTCCTATAACCCTACTGCCCGAAAAACAGAAACAGGAAACCTCTGGGGTTTGCTGGCCATATAATCTCACTGCATCAGTAAGATCCAGGCTCAGCAGGAGACCCTGTCTCAAAAAACACTGATAATCAAGGAGGAAGAAAATGACAGGAATTAGTGATATCAACAACAATTAGGTGATGTCCCTACCAACACCGCAAACAGGGTGACAGGAGAAGATTTGGCATAATTTAGATTAAATAGACAAATTCCTTGAGAACAAAAACTACCAAGTGTATGAGACCAGCTGGTAGTTTAGTAATGTTGCAAGAAAGAGGGTTAATATTAAAAGTAAAGTATATTTCCATATATCAGAAACTGCTAGATATAGAAGCTTTTAAAACAACACACCATTTGTTACAGCATCTCAAAGTACACAGGGGTAGTAAAAAAACAAAAAGCCCAGCACTCGGGAGGCAGAGCCAGGCGGATCTCTGTGAGTTCAAGGCCAGCCTGGGCTACCAAGTGAGTTCCAGGACAGGCGCAAAGCTACACAGAGAAACCCTGTCTCGAAAAACCAAAAAAAAAAAAAAAAAAAAAAAAGCAAAAAAAAAAAAAACCAAAAAACATGAGGAGTAATGAGACCCTGTAGTGGTCTGAACGAGAATGGCACCCATAGGCTCATGTGTTTGAACATTTGCTTGAAAGTTGGTAGAGCTGTTTGGGAAGGATTAGTGGGGGTGGCCTTGTTGGAGGAGGTGTGACTCTGGGAGGGGACTTTGAGGTTTTTAAAGATTCATGCCATTCCCAGTGTGCTCTCCACCTCCTGCTTATGGATCAAGATGTGAGCTCTCAGCTGTGTTCCTGACAACATAGCTGCAGCTTGCTGCCAGGCATCCCTGCCATGATGGACTTAAACCTCTAGAGTCATAAGCCCAACAAATCCTAACCATACGTTAAATAAAGCCTTCCTTCTGTGACTTACTTTGGCCACAGTGTTTTAATCACAGCCATAGAAAGGTAACTAATACAGACCTGTACAGTGAAATCTGCAATTATGCTAAGGAAAAAAAAGAAAAGGAAGACCCACCTAAGTGCAGAGATTACTGTGTTGAAGGGTTTAGAAAACATAATATTAAGATGTCAGTTCTCTTCAAATCACCCAGAGATTCATGCCATCCCAATAAATCCCAGTAGGTGCTTTGATTTTGTGACGATTGACAAGGTGACTGTAATATGCCTCTAGAAAACAAAAGGGTCTAGAATAGGAAAGCAATGCTGAATCAGCACACTGAAGAGCTTACATTATCTGACCCCCAGCTTGACGCAAAACTCCCAGAATTCAGACAGCCTGGTGCTGGCATGAAGATGGATACAGGCCCTAGACATGGAGTCCTAAACATCAGTCTAACAGGATGCTGTGACAATCCAATGTCCACATGCAAGAAGACAAATTTATTCTTTCCATATAAAAAATAACTCAAGATATCAGTTAATGTAAGAACTAAAATATATAAGTTTCTTAGGAGAAAGTCTTCATGCCATTAGATTAGGCAAAGATGGAATATAAAAAGCTCAGTTGGTAAAATACTTTATATACTGGACTGTATGCAAAGGACAAATTCCCATGCTTCAAATGATTCCACTGTAAAAATGAAATACAAGGCACAAAATAGAAAATACTTGCAAATCAAATGTCTGACAGATGGTATAAAATAGACAAGAACTTAGCTGAGTGGTGGTGGCACACAAATTTAATCCCAGCACTTGGGAGGCAGAGGCAGGTGGATCTCTGTGTGTTTGAGGACAGCCAGGGCTACACAGAGAAACCCTGTCTCAAAAAACTTATGTGTGTATGTATATACACATATACATACAAGAACGTGTTCAGTTGAAGTTGAGACCAACTCAGTAATAGAAAACAACTGAACTCAAGTGTGGGCATTTTACCAAAGAAAATACACAAATAGCTAATAAGCACATGAAAAATACTTGACATTGTAATCCATTAAAAGATTGAAAAGCCAAAATAAAATACCAATTAACACACTAAATCTGCTGTGGGTTTTTTTTAAAGTCTGTGGGATATGGGAAAGCATAGTTCATTGTTGTAGTGACTATAAAAATGGCATGGACAGTTTCTTGAGGAACAAGTTGGTATGGCCCAGTAATTCCTTCCTAGTCAGCTAACCAAGTAAATGAAAACTTGTGTTTGTATGATGAGCCAGAATGTTCACAACAACATTCCTTCCTGTCTCCAGGGAGTGGAAATCACCTTAAAGTCCATGGCTGTGCCTGTAAAGTCATAGCTGTACAAGCACGGCACATGTACACATGCTGTCACATGACCAAAGTCAGCTGAGCTGTGTGGTAGAAGTTTCAGAATGCCCTGTGTGCGTTTACCTTTGTATTAAGGTTAGGTGAGTGAGTTCTTAAGGGCTGGGGTTGGGGTGAGTAATCACAGCAGATAGCCCTGAAAAGTATTTTCAGGGTGATGGATCTGTTTAAAAACTGGGTCATGGTTGTGGCTGTATGACTGTAATTTTTTTTAAGCCAGTGAGTAGTATATAAAGGTGAATGTTGTAAGTGTGGGTTATGTCTTAGTCAACTAATAATGCCAGGCTGGGTGTGTATATACTAAAAATGAAGCAGCCCCACTAGCACCATATACAAATGAACTCAAAGTGGGTGAGAGAGACTACATGTAAGACCAAAATTACAAGACTCAGAAAAATCAGAATCCAAAGTTGAACTCAGCAATGATTTCTTGTATATAATACCTACACATAGTCAACTAAAAAATCTTAGATAAATTGGACTTCATCAAAACCAAAAGTTGATGAAATTAAAGGACACCATCTGCAAAAAATCAGTCCCTAAAACAGAATAAAAGGCTTTCAACCCACGCAGCTCTAATATTTAATGTAGAGAATGCATTTCATGTGTACATATGTGTGCATGAAAATGGACAGGAGACTTTTTGAGAGACGTGGGACTTTCCTGGGAAAATGTAAAGAAACCTTTGTTTACCTCAAACAAGAGCAGACAGACCTAAGAAAGATTCTGCCAGTTTCAGCTTGGCATGATGATTGAGTTCATTAGGGTTACTTACAGGGGTGTAGGGGACTCACAGGCACAAAGAAGAGCCAAGTCCCACTCACTGAGCTCTGATTCTGTATGGTTCTCAGTTGGGAGCAGAATTGGTACAAACCTGGGCTCAGAGTGCTGCCTAGTGTTAAGTCAGGTGACTGCAGGCTCTGGCAAGGAGACCCAGACAGGTCAGATCTGGGAAGGCTAGCGCCCATGTGGGTGCTGTCTTTTCTCTTGCAGAGGTCTGCTGGTCTCAGCAAACACTGACCGACTCTGGAAAGGCACACCGAACATTTAAATGGCATCGTAAGATGGAGTTACTTTGCCAGAACTCAGGGGACGGATCCCACTACAGACAGGAGGAAGGGGGACATGGCAGGGTGCGAGACATCAAAGGATACAAGGGGGCAAATGTGAGCAACATGCACTGATACACACATATGAAAATGCCATGATGAAACTTATTATTAAAGTAGCAACTTAAATTTAATAACAAGAAATAATCCTGAATAAATAAGTCATAACAAATAAAACAACAGCCCAGTTTGAAAACTGGCAGAGGATTTCAATAGACATTTCTCCAAGAGCATGTGATGTGTTCTGCATCACTGGCCGCTGGGGACATAAAAAGGGGAGTGTGGACCCCTCACACATTAGGACAATGGCTGTTTAAAGACCATGTGTTGGCAAGGAGGTATAGAAACTGGAACCCTTGTGTATTGATGGTAAGAACAGAAAATATTATAGTCACCTTGATAAATGGTATGACAGGTCTTAAAACCACAGACTTGCCATTTTATCTAACAGTTGACTACTGGGGGCTACACGCATGAGCAAATATCTGTACACCCACACTCAAAGGAGTTGAATTCATAATAGTAAAAAGGTGGAAAAGCACTCAGATATCCAGTGATGTATGAATAGATGAAATAAGTGGATGCATATAAATGGAGCATTACTTAGCCTTAAAAGGAAATGTAACCCTAATACTATCATATGGATGAACTCTGAAAACATTATGCTAAGTGAAAAATCCAGATGCCAAAGTAAGTACTATGTAACTCCACTAAGATGGGATGCTGAGCAGTCAGGCCCATGGAGACAGAAAGTTATCACTGTGGCTACCAGGGACTGTGGGAGAGTTATTGTTTAATGTGTAGTTTTAGTTTGGGATAATGGGAGCTGGAGAGATGGCTCAGTGGTTAAGAGCCCTGACTGTTCTTCCAGAGGTCCTGAGTTCAACTCCCAGCAACCACATGGTGGCTCTCAACCATCTCTGGTGCTTATAAGAAATAGTTTGGTATAATGAAACATTTCTAGAGATGATGGTCATTCCTGTTATGTGATTTTACTTAATGTCACTAAACTTGACAATGGTTAAAACAGTAAATCCTGTCACATATTTCACCATGAAGTCAGCCATCGTGAAGGGCACACCATAATGATGTTCTCGGGTGATGCATTGAGCTTCTGTGTGCTCAACATGATCAGTTTCAAGATACTAAGAGAATGTGTCCCTTACTGTGTCACTGAGTGGTGGCTCTCGTTAGTGGTTTGATGGATGGTTGGTCTTGGCTTACTCTGGAATAATGACGTCTGGAGTCATAGTCTTTGGTAAAGTGCTTGATGGTGACCCGGCCAGTCAACGTCCTCAGAGAAAACTGCAAAGCTTTATCATTGTGCTATTAGCTGGGAAGGTTAACACAAACAGAATCCAAAAGGGGGTGTGTAGAGATACCGTGCTCTGCTGTGAGCTTCAACCTCATGGGCACCCCTCTAGCACTCCATCCACACCAGCGCTCCAACACCAGCGCTCCTCTGGATATGGTTCTCAGAGTAGTTGATAGAGTTGTAAAACTCGGTTACTGCTTGCCTTTTACAAACCATGCACAGATAAAACATGTTTATCCCTTTGCGATTTTCAAAGACACACTAGTAAGAAGAGGGTGGCTGGAGAGATGGCTCTGTGCTTAAGAGCACATGCTGCTCTTACAGGTCAGCTACCAGCACCTCTGCTGAGCAGCTCCCAACCACCTGTAACTCCAGCTCCAGGAGGGTCCTATACTTCTGACCTCATGTATACAGAACCCCTCCCGTGCCACATACACATAATTTAAAAAATAATAAAAAGACTAGGAAGTGATCTTGCAGGCTTTCCATACATAAAATATACCCTACACTGGGGAGTTTTAAATTCAAATTGCTTTTTTCTTGACATATTAGTTAGGTTTTTGTTTACTCTCTTTGAGGTTAAGTTGCACCCCACAGCTCAGGGTGCCCTGGAACTCAACTATGTAGCTCGAGCCTGCCTCAAACTTGAAATAATCCTGTAGCCACCACCTCCCAAGTACTGGTATTACAGGTGTGAGCCACCATGCCTGGATAAAACGAGGGTTTTTAAAAAAGATTCATTTATTTTTATTTTATGTGCATTGATGTTTTGCCTGCATGTATGTCTGTGTGAGGGCATTAGATCCTCTGGAACTAGAGTTACAGACAGTTGTGAACTGACATGTGGGTGCTGGGAATTGAACCTGGGTCCTCTGGCAGGGCAGCCAGTGCTCTTAACCACTGAGCCATCTCTCCAGCCCAAAATGAGTATTTTTTTAATGGAGGAAAAAAGACAGACCATAACAACAATCAAAATCCAAAATAGAATGGGTATCAGGCTTAGTTTACAAAATTAGCTTATCTGAGCAGGCGCTTCTCCGAGGCCAAACGATGTTACTATCTAAGGCCGTAACGTAGCAAAGGAGATGAGGTCTGCATGGTGAGATAAAGCCAGACTCTGAGATGAGCCCATTACAGACAGTAGGACGTGCTCAACAGCCTCAGCTCAGACCTGTGTTGTGAAAATTATAAAGGTCAGAGGACATATTCAACCCTAGTGATGAAAGACACCACCCACCCCTAAAGCCTTGATTCATCAGGGACCGGAACAGGTGTATTCTGGGATGTAGATCTCTCGGCAACCCTCCTTGCTAGTTCAGTTAGAAAACCCATAGCTTCGAGTCCCTAGATCACGTTGTACATGTCCCTGGTGCCCATGACTTAGTCACTGTGCCTGTGTGGGCCTGCCACTGTGTCTGTTTCAGATGTGACAACTTCTGAGAGCCTGAAGTAAGTGGTCCTTTCTATCCAGAGGAAAATGGAGGCTCGGAGGTCGAGCTTTTGCGTCTAGACACTAGTAGAGCAAGAATTTAAGCCCAGATGTGTCTGGCTTCCAAATCTCTGCTTTTCTTTCTTTCATTTGTAAGAGTGGGGTGTGCAGAGGTCACAGGGCACTGTTACGGAGTCAGTTCTGCTCCTTGCATGACTGGGCCCTGTTGCTGGCCTCCAAGCCCATGTTCCCATTGCACGTGACCTTCCACAGGTCCCTGGGGATTGCTGGCCAGAGCAGCTTTGTCCCCAGGATTCTCCCATCCTTGTGTTTGCTATTTCTACCACGGTTGGCATCCGCTGCTGTCCTTGCTATCAGTGACTCACTCTGGCTCTCTGGCCCTACCCAGCCCTTTCTAATTGTGACTATTCGATCATTAAGCCTGTTAGAACTTCAGGCAGCAGAGAGAGTGCAGGAAGGCAGAGGCGAGCACTTGAGAGACTAGAGTGGGGATGCTGACTGTGCACAGGTACTGTAGGGCAGCTGCTGCCGGTGTGGATGTCTGAGGTAAGTTCACCTCAAGTCACCTGCCACAAGCAGAAGCTGTGGGTTTACACATGCAGGTAAGAGGGTGGGTGGGTGTGTGTACGCAGAAAACCGAGTGCACATGTACAACCTTACTTTCCACAGGTCACAGAGATCACTGACGACACACCCAGTGAAGGACATTATTTCCGCCACCTCACACAGGCAGGAAGTGAACCGTATGGCGGGAGAAGGTAACGTCTTAATTCTCCTCTCCTTAGACAGAAGGCTCGCTAACAGTCCTATCCAAGGCAGCCTGTTGAGGGGAGGGGAAGTAACACACCGTGCAAGGTGTGATGGCCCAACACAATCCCTCTAGCACTGACGGGACCATCAAAACGGGCCAAAATCCCGAGCAATGTCTGAAGAAAGAAAAAGATGAAAATTTATTTAGTGAAAGAAGTACTGAATTATAAAACACCTCACCAGCTGAGTGGTGGTGGCGCCTGCCTTAGTCCCAGCACTTGGGAGGCAGAGGCAGGTGGATCTCTGAGTTTGAGGCCAGCCTGGTTTACAAAGTGAGTTCCAGGACAGCCAGGACTGTTACACAGAGAAACCCTGTCTCAAAAAAACAAAAATCAAAATAAAACAAATAAAATACCTCACTTCACTGTTGGCTACTGAATGAAAAGAAAAAAAGAAAAGAAAAAAGAGGAAAGATATGACTGCTCGTAGGTATGGTGGAGGAGGAAGTTCATTGTAGATAAAAGGGAGAGCATAGCCAGAGGCAAAGACATCTGAGAGTCCAGAGTGAACATGACCCAGGAGTCGGGCCATGTGAGAAGGGAAAGGGGAGAGCCAGACCAAGAGGCCAGGAAGGTAAAGGGTAGACCCATAGACAAAAAGGCTGGGTAACCAAAATGGCTGGATTATATAGGAAAGGGCAGCTCCTGGGAAGGGCAGCCCAGCCCCTGGAGAAGTTTAGGGTAGGGGGCAGGGTATACCAGCCCTACCTTGTAACAGGTGGGGACTGAGGGATGCTGGGAGAACCTGGCAGCCAAGACTGCTTAGATATGATAGATAGGCACCTCAGTTAGCTATTTGTCTCAGGTTTGAGACCTATCAGCTACCTGGATACACTAGCTAGAGGCTGAGAGGAGGGAATCTCAGTTGAGAAAATGCCTCCAGAAGGTCGGGCTGTAGGCAAATACAGATGGAAGAACTATACCAGAAGAAATTTAGGATTGCTATCCATACAGGCCTTAGGGTTACCAGATGTATGCACTGTGATGAAACACTGTGACCAAAAGCAACTTGGGGAGGAAAAGGTTTATTTGGCTTCCATATCCTGGACCACAGTCCATTGAGGGAAGCCAGAGCAGGAACCCAAACCTGGAGGCAGGAGCTATCACAGAGGCCATGAGGGAGTGCTGCTTACTGGTATGTTCTTGTGGCCTGTTCACCATACTTTCTTATAGAACCTCAGACTTCCTGCCCACACCCAGGATCACTAGCTCAGGGATGTCCCCACCCACAGTGGGTTGGGCCCTCTCCCATCAACCACTAATTAAGAAAATTCCGCCAGGCGGTGGTGACGCACGCCTTTAATCCTAGCACTTGGGAGGCAGAGGCAGGCGAATCTCTGTGAGTTCGAGGCCAGCCTGGTCTACAAAACGAGTTCCAGGAAAGGCGAAAAGCTACACAGAGAAACCCTGTCTTGAAAAACCAAAAAAAAAAAAAGAAAAAAAGAAAAAAAAAGAAAATTCCTTGCAGGCCTGCCGATAGCCAGATCTTAGGGAGGCGTTTGCTCAATTGAGGTTCCTCTGTCTCAAATGACTCTAGCTTGTGTGAAGTTGACATAAATGATCCAGAACTTTACCAAGTTCCAGACCTGTTTTCATCACCTGACCTGTAATTTTTGCTGCCTATTTTGCAGAAAGCAAATTTCATCTCTTTGGGGGAGGCAACATTAATTGGTCAGGCCAGAACAATTTCTTTCTTCTTTTTTTTTTTTTTTTTTTTTTCCTGTTGAGGTTACTCTGAAACACAGTAGACAAGAGGCCACAGCAACTTCTAGGACCTTCTTGCAGAGGTCCGGAGCTAGTGACTGTTAAAGCACAGCTGAGATACAGCAGACCCTGACCCCTGACCCCTGCCTGCAGGCTTCTCCAAACAGCATCATCCAGCATAGGCCCTATGAGTGGAGTGTCACGTAACTCTCCACTCACGCATCATTGATTAACAAACCAGGAGTGTCAGGGTTTGAGGTAAGTAGGCAAAGTGACCCTTACATGTTCAACTAAAACTGCTTTAGAAGACTTCCAATTAAGAAGTAGCCCGCGCCGGGCGGTGGTGGCGCACGTCTTTAATCCCAGCACTCGGGAGGCAGAGCCAGGAGGATCGCTGTGAGTTCGAGGCCAGCCTGGGCTACCAAGTGAGTTCCAGGAAAGGCGCAAAGCTACACAGAGAAACCCTGTCTCGAAAAACCAAAAAAAAAAAAAAAAAAAAAAAAAAAAAAAAAAAAAAAAAAAAAGATGTAGCCCGCAACTTAAGAGTTTGACTCCGAGGTGGTCCCACAGGCAGCTTGGACGCCTTAGTGAAGCTGATACTCATCCAGTAGGAACTGGACTTTTATCTTCCCACAAACTCAAAATACGTGGTAAGAGATTGGGTTCTGGCCGTCGGCAGCAAACTATCCCATGATTCCATGCAGCCCATGATCAGGACAGTCATGGGCTCCCCTGGCTGTGTGGCTAAACCCCGAGGTTTTGTTGGGTGAAGTGTGTATTAAATGCATTTTGACTCATGAATATGCTCAGCTTCCAGAAGGTTTGGCAGTGTGACTCCATAGTAAGTGGAGGCTTGCTCAAGAAATCTGAGTCGTTTCCACCTGCCCCCTCAGCTCCTTTAGTAAATGCTTTGCCCCAGCGAGGCACACTGATGCTTTTGAGTTAGCTCAAGCCCAAAGGTTAAAGTTCCTTTGTGTGGTTTTCTGCATTTTTGACAAATGCCTGTTGTGCATCCACCATTCCAGGTCGCCGAGTCTCCTCCCAGCAGCCCTCCTGTTCCCAAGTTCAGCTCTCCCTTTCCCTGTTGATCTGACAACCACTGGTGGCTTCCCTTGGCGCTTTCCCGACTCAGAGGCTGCGACCGCACAGTAAGTATCTCAGACTGGCAGGCAGAGCCATGGAAGATTCTGTCCCTGCTGCAGCTCACCGCTGCATTTTCCCTTTGAACAGTTGGGATTTTCTTTTCTCTTTTTGGATGTTTTTTAAAATTTGGGTGTTTGAGGATTTTTTTTTATTTCGTATAGTGTGTGTGTGTGTGTGTGTGTGTGTGTGTGTGTGTGTGTCTGGATATGTAAGTATGTATATATAAATATACGTATGTGTGTATAGATATCTATCTATCTATACACACACATACACACACTTTTAAACACAACCTGCTGAGGTCATTTTGTGTTGCTCATATATGCTTAGGGCTGACCTCTTAGCCTATCAGAGGGCTTCTCCCTGGAGAACACTGATTCTCTCTCTCAGCCACCAATAACTGCCTGTATCTCTTCTAGAAGTGAAGTTTTTTAAGACTTCCCCCATCCACACTATCACATCAACTGGTAGTGTCATTTATAAGGTCTTGTCTAGGCAGCCATATTGTCGAGGTTTCTTGGGCGCAGCTTCCCTGTCACATATAAAGACACTGTCTCACGGCAGATGTCCCATTCTGGACCTCTGCTTCTTTCCTCCCGTTCTTCCTCCATGTTCCCTGAGCCTTAGGTGAATGAGTTGGGTCGTTGATGTATCATTTGGGGCTGGTCACCACAGTTAGTTCTCTGCATTTTGACCACTTTGTGGATTCCTGTAACGATCTCCATCTACTGCAAACATCTTTGATGACGAGTGATGTTTACTGGCAAGTAAAAGATAAATATTTAGAATGCAGTTAGAAATTATACTGCTTTTGTGAGATGGCAGTAGTAGGTCCTCTTCTAGGGTCCATGGCTCATCACCCACAGGTTGTAAGCTAGGTTTACAGGGCCAAGCATCAGTTCCCTGATCTTGCCATTCTGCTTGTTTATAAGTGCTAAGCCGGATAGGACCACTGACTGCTTTTCTCCCTAGGCAGCTTGCCTAGGGTTTCAGTACTAGAGTTAGTCCTCAGAGAGGACTTCCAGGGTAGTTCAGCTCAACTGTAAAATTTTAAAATTTACTAATACTTGGGATGATAATGCACACCTTTAATGCCAGCCCTTGGGAGGCAGAGACCAGTGGATCTCTGTGAGTTCACGGCCAGCCTGGTCCATACAAGGAGATTTAGTGTTTTAAACCACTTGGAAGAGTAAAGCTCAACAGCATTGAAATGCATTCACTCTGTATAGGGCCATGACCACTATCACTCCCCAGAGCATTTTAATCATCCTACACCAAATCTTTATACTTCCTTAAGTCCCCCTTTATGTAAGCCCTCTCAAGCCCAACAGAGTAACTGAAGACATAGACTCCTTGTCCTTTGTAACTGGCTAATTTCATTCAATATATTTTCAAAGCTCATCTATACTTAACCAAAATCCCATTCTTTTAATAACAGTTCAGTATTACTTAGTGTGGATGTATTACACTCTGTATACTATGCAAAGATACTTGGATTATTTCCAATTTGACTTCTGTAAGCAGTGATGTTTCAATATATACCATCAGACCCTGCTTTTATTTTAAAATATTACATTTCGAGTAGAATTTCTGGATCAAATTGTAATTTGTACTTAATTTGACAAGGACCATACCGTTTTCTTTGACAGACCCACCGCTTTACAGTCTTACCGGCAGTACGGGGTCCAACACTTCTTGTGCATCTGTGTTACTGCGTGTGTGGGAGGGGAAAGAGAGACAGGGAGAGGGAAGACACCCACCGTCATAATGGGGTGATTTCTCCTTGGGGCTTAACTTGAATTTCTCTGTGCATCAGTGAAGTTGACCATACTGCCAATGTTTGCTAGTGATTTATGTCTTTGGAGACCTGTTTAAGTCCCAGGCCACTTTTTTTTTTAATTGTTTTTTAAATTTATTTTACATACCAATCACAATTTTCTCTCCCTCCTCTCCTCCCATCCCCTCCTCTCATCTCCTTTCTACCCACCCCCCATTCACTCCTACCATCCACACCTCTGAAAGGGTAAGGCCTCCCATGGGAGTCAACAACACATGGCATATCAAGTTGACGCAGGACTAAGTTCCTCCCTGCCACATCAAGGCTGAGCGAGGCATCCCAACATAGGGAATAGGTTCCAAAAAGCCAGTTCATGTGCCAAGGACAGATCCTGGTCCCACTGCTAAGGGCCCCACAAACAGACCAAACTACTCAACTGTCACCCACATGCAGAGTGTCTAGGTGGTCCCATGCAGGCTCCCTAGCAGTCAGTCCAGAGTCCGTGAGCTCCCACAAGCTTGGGTCATCTGTCTCTGTGGGTTTCCCCATCATGATCTTGATCCCCCCTTGCTTATTTAATCCCTCTCCCTCTCTTCAACTGGACCTCCTGGAGCTTGGCCTAGTGCTTGGCTGTGGATCTCTGCATCTGCTTCCATCAGGTACTGGATGAAGGTTCTATGATGACAATTAGGGTAGTCACCAATCTGACTACAGGAGAAGGCCAGTTCGGGCACCCTCTCCACTATTGCCAGGAGTCTTAGCTGGGGTCATCCTTGTGGATTCCTGGTATTATTATTCCAGGTTTCTCCCTAACCCCGTAATGGCCCCTTCCATCAAGATCTCTTTTGTTGCCCTCCCTCTCTGTCCCTCCCCCAACTCAACTATCACAATCCCTCATGTTCCCATCCCCTATCTCCTCCTTCCCCACCCCCACCCCACCCCCTGCCAGTTTACCCAGGAGAACTCATCTATTTCCCCTTCTCTCTCTCTCTCTCTCTCTCTCTCTCTCTCTCTCTCTCTCTCTCTCTCTCTCTCTCTCTCTCTCAAAGATTTATTTATTATGTATACAGTGCTCTGCCTGCAGGTATGCCTGCAGCCAGAAGAGGGCACTAGATCTCATTATAGATGGTTGTAAGACACCATGTGGTTGCTGGGAATTGAACTCAGGACCTCTGGAAGAGCAGCCAGTGCTCTTAACCTCTAAGGCATCTCTCCAGCCCCTATTTCCCCTTCTCAAGGTGATCCAAGCATCCCTCTTAGAGTCCTCCTTGTTACCTAGTTTCTCTAGGACTATGGGTTGTAGCCTGGTTATCCTTTGCTTTACATCTACTATCCACTTATGACTGAGGACATATTGTGTTTGTCTTTCTGGGTCTAGGTTACCTCACTTAGGATGATTTTCTTCTAGTTCCATCCATATGCCTGCAGATTTCATGATGCCATTTTTTTTTTTTAAACCACTGAGTAATACTCCACTGTGTAAATGTACCAAATTTTCTTTATCCATTCTTCGGTTGAGGGGCATCGAGGTTGTTTCCAGGTTCTGGCTATTATGAATAATGCTGCTGTGAACATAGTAGTGCAAGTGTCTTTGTGGTGTGATGGAGTATCCTTTGGGTATATGCCCAAGAGTGGTATTGCTGGATCTTGAGGTAGATTGATTCCCAATTTTCTGAGAAACCACCATACTGATTTCCAGAGTGGCTGTACAAGTTTGCACTCCCACCAACAGTGGAGGAGTGTTCCCCTTGCTCCAAATCCTCTCCAACATAAGCTGTCATCAGTGTTTTTGATCTTAGCCATTCTGACAGGTATGAGATGGTATCTCAGAGTCATTCTGATTTGTTTTTCCCTGATGACTAAGGAAGTTGAACAATCCTTGAAATGTCTTTTGGCTGTTTGAGATTCTTCTGTTGAGAATTTTGTTTAGCTCTGTACCCCATTTTTTAAAAAGATTTATTTATTTATTATGTATACAAATGTTCTGCCTGCATGTATGTCTGCAGGCCAGAAGAGGGCACCAGATCTCATTACAGATGGTTGTGAGCCACCATGTGGTTGCTGAGAATTGAACTCAGGACCTCCAGAAGAGCCATCAGTGCTCTTAACCTCTAAGCCATCTCTCCAGCCCTGTACCCCATTTTTAAATCAGATTATTTGGTATTTTGATGTCTAGTTTCTTGAGTTCTTTATATATTTTAGAGATCAGCCCTCTGTCAGACGTGGGGTTGGTGAAGATCTTTTCCCATTTCTGTGGGCTGTCGTTTTGTCTTACGTACTGTGTCCTTTGCTTTTCAGTTTCAGGAGGTCCCATTTATTAATTGTCAATCTCAGTGTCTGTGCTACTGGTGTTATATTTAGGAAGTGGTCTCCTGTGCCAATGCGTTCAAAGCTACTTGCACTTTCTCTTCTATCAGGTTCAGTTTAAATGGATTTATGTTGAGGTCTTTGATCCACTTGGACTTCAGTTTTGTGAATGGTGATAGATATGGATCTATTTGCAGCCTTCTACATGTTAATAACATCCAGTTATGCCAGCACCATTTGTTGAAGATGCTTTTTTCCAATTGTGTAATTTTGGTGGCTTTTTCAAAAAACAGCTATTCATAGGTGTGTGATTTATATCAGGGTCTTTGATTCGATTCCATTGATCCACATGTCTGTTTTTATGCCAGTACCAAGCTGTTTTTATTACTATAGCTCTACAGTAAAGCTTGAAGTCAGGGATGGTGATGCCTCCAGAAGTTCCTTTATTGTAAAGGATTGTATTGGCTATCCTAGGTTTTTTTGTTTTTCCATATGAAGTTGAGTATTGTTCTCTCTATGTCTGTGAAGAATTGTGTTGGAATTTTGATGGAGATTGCATTAAATCTGTAGATTGCTTTTGGTAAGACTGCCATTTTTACTATTAATTGTAACTATGCAAGAGCATGAAAGATCTTTCCATTTTCTGCTTTCTTCTTCAATTTCTTTCTTCAAAGACTTAAAGTTCTTGTCATACAGTTCTTTCACTTACTTGGTTAGAGTTACCCCAAGATATATTACTGTGGCTATTGTAAAGGGTGTTGTTTCTCTGATTTCTTTCTCAGCCCATTTATCATTTGTATATAGGAGGGCTACTGATTTTTTTTTTTTAGTTAATCTTGTATCCTGCCACATTACTGAAGGACTTTATCAGCTGTAGGAGTTCCCTGGTAGGATTTTTGGGGTCACTTATGTATACTATCACATCATCTTCAAATAGTGAAAGTTTGACTTCTTCTTTTCCAATTTGAATCTGCCCTTGATCTCCTTTTATTGTCTTATTGCTCTAGCTAGAACTTCAAGTACTATATTGAATAGAAATGGAGAGAGTGGACAACTTTGTCTTGTCTTGATTTTAGTGGAATTGCTTTGTTTCTCTCTTCATTTAATTCGATGTTGGCTGTCGATTTGCTGTGTATTTCTTTTTCTTTTTTTTTTTAAGATTTATTTTTTTTTAAGATTTATTTATTTATTATGTATACAGTGTTCTGCCTGCATGTATGCCTGCAGGCCAGAAGAGGGCGCCAGATCTCATTATGAATGATTGTGAGCCACCATGTGGTTGCTGGGAATTGAACTCAGGACCTCTGGAAGAACAGCCAGTGCTCTTAACTGCTGAGTCATCTCTCCAGCCCGTATTTCTTTTATTATGGTTAAGTATGTTCCTTGTATCCCTGATCTCTCCAAGATCTTTTTCATGAAGGGGTGTTAGATTTTGTCAACGGCTTTTTCAGCATGTTGTAAGATGATCATGTGCATTTTTTTCCCTTTTCGTTTGTTTATATGGTGGATGTCTTTCTTTCAGTTGCTTATCTGCTCCAATCAGTCTATGTTGACTGGCAATGGTGCAGGCAAGCATCCTTCTTCCCATCCTAGAAGAGAAGCCTGTCCAACAGACAGGAAGTTCACCATGGGTGTTTCCATGGTGGCTTTTATGTTGGCGTAGTTTCCCTCAACATATAGTTGTGATTTTTATTTTTTTAATTACAAAAGAATTTTTACCAAATGGCTTTCCTGTTTTTCCTTGAAAACAACAGTGCTGTGTTGGCCAGTGGTTTGTCTGTCTGCCCCACAAATCCTTCATGCTGGGTTCACCGGTTTATACTCTTCTGCTTCCAGCTTCCCCATTGTTCCTTTCTGTCCCCAGTGGCCCCTGAAAGTCTCTGGTGAGGTCATTTGGGGGGGGGGGGGGGTAGGGGAAGCTTTTCATAAATCCTTTCTTTGTGGACACTGATTCTGTCCCTTATCACCTTCCTGTAATTCCTGTGAGCATACTTAAGTCTCCAGTAAGTTTAATATTGGACTTCATTAGCTAATGTACCAGCTTACCTTGCTTCCTTTTCAATCATCTGTGTTCGAACTCTCGGACGCATACCCCAGCATATGTGTGGCGGTCAAAGGACAACTTCCATCGGTCGGTGCTCTTCTTCCATCATGTGTCGTGGACATCAAACTCAGGGTGTCAGTCTTGGTGGCACGCACCTTTACCTGCTGAGCCATTTTGCTGGAATTTATCTTGATGATTCTTTGAACAGACCTCATTTCTCTGTTCCTCTGAGTACATGTTACTCATTTTAACAATATCACCCCCTCCACTCTATCTCAATGTTTGCTGGTTTGTTATTTAAAGGTATCACCCACTTGTGTTTACTTCCAAGCCTTTTAGAGTGTTCTTTTTGTGTGACCCTTCATTTGACGTCCCCTCCCCTTTGTATTAATTTGTATTAATACAGCAATCCCCCTTTACACCAGTTTCTCCAAACTGGCTGGGAAATCCTTTGACATGTAGTTAGTTATTCACTGAGCTTAGGGAGCAGGCACAGTTAAAAGGTCAGGGTGTTAGATCTTTGGAACAAGTGACTTCTCTGGACATCTGTGCCATTCTAAAGCCTCTGTACGTGTGGCTGAACGTTCTAACTTCCCAGTGTCTCCCCTCAAATGGTCAGTTTTCCATCTCCATCTTCTCTGGACTCTGGCATTTGTGATCCTTGCAGCTTTTACAAGCAGTGCCCACCAAGTCCCAAGTGAGGCAAAACCAAACAAATCCAACCAACCAAGCACCTTTTATTAGCACCTCAGGTACTATCCAGAGGGGCTACAGAGGTACACAAATCTACAGAGAGGGTCTCTTCCACTTCATCCAGTTTATGAATGAGAACTTGGCTTCTACAGCTTTAAGAATCACTGTCGCAAGGGGGAGGAGGGGCTGAAAACATCACAGAATCTAGCTACCGTTTTGGAGATGGATTTTCTTGACTGAGTTTTCTTTTTGTTGGATGAACCTGTTTTCTAGAGCTCTGATAAAACTGGCCTAGTTGTTGCTGTTTCTGCCAAGGAACAGAGCTAGGAGATTCTTAATTATCTTTCTGCTGATGTCTCTTTGGTCAGTGTACTTCACTCCTGTCTGTAACTCTAGTATCAGGAGACTGTGGACTAGGTATGTTTACTGAGTAAAGGCAGGGTGACTGAATCCTGGACAGTAAGAAAAATGTTAAAACAGTGGTCTCAAATTGTTTCTCAGTCTAACCCCTTGCTATTAAAACCAACACCATCCTGCTTTTAGTCTGTTACTGACCTGAGCAAAAACATAGGACAAACACTTACTTAGATGCAAGTGTTCCACACTCTTAACTCCAAAACATTTGTGACTTTACTGACGCCTTCTGCCAGGGGCTTTTTACTATATATCAGCAGAAGTTCTAGAAACCTATCTCCAGATGTGGCACAGGGCAGAAGTGAAATATCCATTACAAAACAACACATTTGGCACTTATCACTGCTACCCGTTGAAAGGGGCCAATATAAAAATAACTTTCTGGTAACTACACAGAAACAATGTTATTCTGCCTATTAAACATAGGATTTTTACTATAGAGTCTACTATGCATCATTAACATTTCCAAGTCAACATTAACCCAACCCATCCAGTCTACAACTAAAAAATCAAGTCAATCACCTTTATTTTCATGGTTCTGGAGTCTTCTGCTTCCATCAAAACTGAATTTATAGTGATGTTAACTTTTTTTCTATTGAAAATTTCCACCAGTTGTCTAGAAAGCACTCAGATGTCTTCATTTCTACTGTAACTCCTGGCATGCTCATTTTGTTAAATTAGCAGCACAAACTACTCTCTTTTGCTACTGGCCTTCTGGATCTTGATCCAGGTCTACACAAAATTGAGAAAGCTAAGGCAGTAAGGCCTCCTACTGGACATGCCCTCATCACACTAGCCTTCTGCCTGCTGGATCCTTTCTGCACCTCCATTATAAGGTGCCACTTCCCTTTTCCTACAATCAAGGGACTGGAAATGTATTCCTTTTCAAACAAAGTAGAGCCCCAGCTCCGTTTTCATTTGGAAGTATACAGAGAAATCAGCGCTTTCAAAACCTTGCTGGTGGGTCATCTGAGCCTCGATTGAGGCGGCAGCTCAGTATGTGAACACACCTTCACCGTTGTGTTCACATCAGCTTTTTAAAGATTTATTTATTATGTATAGTGTTCTGTTTGCATGTATCCCTGCAGGCCAGAAGAGGGAGCCAGATCTCATTAAAGTTGGTTGTGAGCCACCATGTGGGTGCTGGGAATTGAACTCAGGACCTCTGGAAGAGGAGCCAGTGCTCTTAACCTCTGAGCCATCTCTCCAGCCCCCCATATCAACTTTTTTATAATGTGATTGTTTTCGTGGCTTTATAAGTAGCAGCTGCCATTTCTAGACTTTTTTTTTAAACAAACCAGCAATTATTTTACCTAACAATTATCTAGTGTCCTTTTAGTACAAACCACTGACCATTACAAAAATGTCACTCATCAGTTACCTTGTAAGTATATCCTACAACAAAGACCTGGCGCAAATTCACATTAACTTCTGCCCTATGGAACAGTCTAGAAACAGGCAGCATAGGTCCATGAGGGTACAACAGAAGTGTGGACACCCAGGATTCCTGTGGTCCTTTCCACAATGGAGTGCTGACTTCTCTGCAGTGTCCAAGATGACTCACAACCGGCCCATATTCCAAGCAGTAAGGAGCAAACAAAGGTCATGCCACTATTAAGAACACACAACACAGTGGTACTGAGAAATTCAGGCATGTGAGTAACTGAAAATCAGTTTCCATCACAGCACGCTCTGTGAGCTCCGGTGCTCAGGGCAAACTGGCATTCTCTCACACCTCTCCCTCAGCTCCAGGTTCTCACTGAGGAAGAAGAGGTTAACATTCTTCATTCTCCCATCAAAAGCAATAGACATACACTAGTTGAGTGGGTTTTCAAGTGTATTTTATTGGTAGAAAACCAAAATATGGTGATATCGTTTTCAGAACTATGTGAAAAAGATTGTTCCCTTGCAGTCTCCTTACTGTGAAGAGGAAAATGCTAACTTACCTATGAGAGTAACTTCATACAGTATGAAAACAAAGGCAGTTCTTTATCAGGAAAGTTAAAAAGTCAGTAATACTTGTTCCAGCTTCTGAGAAGCAGAGAGACTCAACCGTATCTTTAATTTTCTCCTTTATTAAGGAAATTAAAGTCATGATTCTGCTATAAATTCACGGACCACTACACGGTCTTCACCCTCCATCTCCTGGAGGGCTCGTGCACCTCCCAGGATGCTTGGTCACAGCGGCTTTGCCTGCGCCTGACCCCAGCCTCACTTCTTGATCTGTGTGTATAGAGCTGGCCTTCATCTACATAGTAAAACTCAGCCCATGGTGATCTCAGAGCATCACTCAAAGCTACGAAACAAAAGGAGCCAGTTTTGTTTAAAATACTCCTATCCCAAGTCTCCATTTTTCTGAAAAAGGCAATGCCCCAAAGTTACAGCCTGTGAGAGCCAGTCTCATTTAGAGGCCCCCAGGTGAATGAGCGCCATGATGGTTGTATAGCTATGGAACAAGTCCTCTTCCTTCACCTCGTTACACCTCCTCAGAATAAAGTTCCCAGTGACTATCCGGTCACATCCAATCTCCCCATTTCCAAAGAAGCCGAATAAGGGGACACTAGGAAAAAACTTTCTAAATGCATCAGACTCAACATTCCGCTTGGCTCTGTAGTACTGGACACCCCGACCAACACACGCAAACATGAAGCCAATGGTGTTCTGTTCGGGGATGTTGGCTGCTTTGAGGCGCTGCATGGCCGCCTCAGCAGTCTTGACATCATTCACATCCTCATTGAGGAGAACTGTGGCACTCTGGATTCGGTGCCCACTAAATGACAGTCCAACCACACCTGTGGCATCAATATCCAGAGGGTTCCTGGAAACAAACACAAACCTCGTGATAAATTAGGGAGGAGAGAGCTGCTGCCTTTGACAACTTACACTTTAGTCTGAGATGTATCCTAAGACAAGGATCAAACTAAACTGTTATTAAAAACAGGCAGATCAAAAAGAGGTGGACAGCTGCCTTTTCCAGCCACAAACACAAAGCTAGTATACAAAAGCTCGTCCTGGGTTAGTATTACCCAGCAATTAGCTCTCTGCCCCCTTCTAAATGAACCTGATAGATTTATATATGCTGACACAGAAATACCCACCCTCTTTGTAGTGGTGGTGCTGGCAAGCACTGACACTAACTGATGTCCCCATCCCATGACACCTACATAAAGGCATCTCCCCCCAACCCCAACCACTGTTAAATTATGTATTAAAAACTATATCATCATGGGCGGGCCAGGTGTGGTGGCACATGTAATCCCAGCACTCAGGGAGGCAGGCGGCTATCTGTTGAGTTTGAGGCCAACCTGGTCTACCGAGTGAGTTCCAGGACTGTTTCTTAAACCAAACACAATATTATATATAAATCATGGAGAAAAATTTTCCACTCTGCAGGTTTTAGCTTTTTGTTGACTAGCCTTTAAAGAACTATGATTGCAATGCTTCCTGTCTTGCTTATTGCTTTGAGCCTGAGTTTGAATTTTAAAACTTCACAACTGGAGAGAGGGGTGGGGCTGGAGAGATGGCTCAGAAGTTAAGATCGTGGTCTGCTCGTACAGAGATCCCAGCTTGATTCTCAGCACCCACATCAGGTGGTTCATAACCACCTGTGACTCCAGCTCCAGGGAATCTAATACCTCTGGTTCCTGAGGGCACCTGCAACTCACGTGCAGACACATCTCTCACCTAATTACATCTTTAAAACCCTCTTTCTATTACACTGGTTTTATGCATAAGGCTGGGTGAGCATGTACACAGTGGGCAAAGGAGTCCTTTCTCTTTCCACCTTGTGGGTCCCGGGGATTGAACTCATGTTGTCAGCTCTGGAGTCAAGTGCCTCATCAGCCCTGGTAAGACTTTTTTTTTTTTTTTTTTTTTTGTTTTTCGGGACAGGGTTTCTCTGTGTAGCTTTGCGCCTCTCCTGGAACTCACTTGGTAGCCCAGGCTGGCCTCGAACTCACAGAGATCCGCCTGGCTCTGCCTCCCGAGTGCTGGAATTAAAGGCGTGCGCCACCACCGCCCGGCAAGACTTTTTTTAATCAAAACATTTTGTCCTTACAAAAGAACATGCATGCCAGTAAAAGTTATGAGGCATATAATGAACACTCATTGGGAAGAAACATACATCTTAAGTCTCGATTACATTTATCAACAACTGAATCTCTAGAATGCACAAGAGTCTCTGGGTTAGCAAGAAACTAAGAGAGTCAGGCACCAAGCCCCAGTGGTGCATATACATACACCCCAAATAAATAAAATCTAGTATATACTTCCCCAAACTGAAGGCCAAAGGATCCCAGTAAGATACCCACAGGCTGCTCTTCCCCAGAGAAGAGGAGGGAGATGCCATCCCACTGACAAGTTTTGTGTCAAACACTGACCCATGTACCTCCTCCAGGTACCTCCTCCCGGAAACATGGGAAAATTTAAATGGCTACAGTCTAATCAAGAGAGAATTTGTGAGCCACAGAGATCATCTTTGAGAGGCTGAAGTTTGCTTCAGACACAGTATTCAATCTTCAAGTAACTGTTTAGAAAGATGAGCTTGCAAGGTCCCACTGCAAGCTTCCAACAGCAGGAGTTCTGCTCCCTTGCAGCAGCCCATGTCCACCTTAGCATAGGCACAGACCCCAGCATGAGTCTATCCTCAGCTCCTTCACAATGACTTCCACACAAGGGCCACTGAAAACTGTTTAAAACAAGCTGCTTCACCCTCACCTCAGTTCCCCTTTTCCTTTCAAAACCTAGTCTTCCTTATTTATTTCTCCGAAACCTTTGTCCCACAATTAGCAATCAACTCTATATTGAAATAAAAGCCCTGTGCCTTAATGACTTCTTTGTTTGCAGAGCACCACCACAAGGAGGACCAGAGCTGTAAAATACACCAACAGGCAATGCCGAAGGCGCCCAACTCTGATGCTCTTAAAGGACAATAAATACAAGTTTAGTTCTTTGACTGCGCGCAGAATTGTGTTCAGTGACCTCTTGGCAACAGCAAAATGAAATGATTTGGTACATTAGCAATTCCTTTTCTTTTGTATTTTTTGAGACAGGGTATCACTTTGTAGCCTTGACTAGCCTGGAAGTCATCAATGTAGACCAGGCTGGCCCTGCCTCCTCAGAGTACTGGAATTAAAGGCATACAATGCCACACTGATTCCTCAAATTTGTTTTTAAAAGACCCCAAGTAATGAGAACCTGAAATTTCCATTTACCCGGGGGAGAAAAGCAAAGTGCCCAGGCTTACTTCTCACAAGTCAGTGAGGACAGGTTGTCCACCTGGCCTCCAGCCAAGATGATATTCATGTTGCTGAAAGTGCTGACTACTCGCTGCAGGTAATTGCCGGCTCCCACCTTACAGCAGTTATAGCCAAAGACAAGGACCACGCGAAGCTCAGGGTTATCCAGAAGACCTGCAGAGAGGCGAGAGATAAGCAGCCTTAAACCTGATGAGCTGTTAGTTACCCCTGCTGCCCGGCACCAGTGTACGCCGTGTAGCGCTGAAGCTCTTGGTTTCCAGTAAGAAAAGCTAAACGGCTTCTTGAATGTGATCCAGTCAACGACTCACCCACACAAGGACGCGGTTACAGACTGAAGAGCGGCCCTAGTGGACCATGTCAGGTGGCTCCACATCCCAATTCCATGCATGCCAGTGCCCCGGAGTTTCTAATGTGGTCTAAAAGCAGCTCTACCATGTGCAGGCAGCAGGACTCCAGGGAGCCAGCAGCATCTCATCCCAGAGCTCCAAGCTTCCACCTGAGTCTCTGGGAGCTTGTTTTCACGGCATTATTTTGAAACCGGCCAGTATTACAAAGAGGTGGCTTCTGGGACAGGAAGAAAATGCAGCCCCTAACTACACCAATGTTTCCATTTACCTCAGCCACATGCCTTCCACCGTGATAGGAGGCAGGATCACTCAGCTAGATGGGAAGGGAAGGGAGCACGGCACACCACAGTGCTCAGGCTCCGCCCGTGATGAGTCAAGGATCCCAGCACATTAACACCTAACTCCATGCTAGTGACCTCGAGCTCTGTCTTAGCAAATGTAAGCCTGTCCTGCATCCCAGGAACCATTCTGTGATTCCAGTTCAACTTCTTAGCAATCCTTTAATGACGTGTAAAGACCATGACATGCGACTTTTTTTCGGAGCAGCCCACATCCACTTTCCCCAAATGTCTCTCGAGCCCCATGCTAAAATTTATATTAAAAAATTTCCTTTTAATAAACTCCAACTCTGCTTCACAGCAGCTCATCCTGGGATTCTTTTCTGTGCTGAACTCTAGGAAACTTTACCTTCAGGCCACAGCACAGAGCAGTGGCTTCCCCCTAATGCCGCTGCCAAGACAATCAATTATTGACAACTAGAACTGGCTGGGGCAGAGTCTAAAGTTCTAAGTCTCCGTGTAGTGAAGCACACTGGCAGTTCTGAAGGGCCCTCCCTCTTACAGATGAGCCCGGCACATTGAGAAAAGACCCTTTTCTTTAGTAGGACACATTCTGGTAGGAAGAAGCTGAGGCGCAACAGTCAAGTCTAGTTTAGAAACAAGAGTGTCACTTCCAGGAGTGACTAGCTTGGGACAATGGCATGGCTATTCAAGAGAAGTCAGTGTTAAGAGACACTGCAGGACATGCGCCCCTGACGTCAACCTCTGGTCTCCACACAAATGCACCTGCAATATCCGTGCACAGGGAAAAAGGAAAAGTACCCTCAGTGAAGTCTGGAAGCCACCCGGAAGGGGACAGAGTGCCTGCACCTGTCCAGCCCTCTTCTCCACTGAAGAGGAAATGTGCAGGGCTCCCAGCTTTAGCTGCCCACACTACTGCTCTGTGCTAGCCCTTCCTCCAGCCACTCCTACTTCCCGTTTACACTCGCAGGACAGTGTAAAGCTGTTCTCAGTGTGTATATTCCGTCCTCTGAGCCATCAACCCAAACTTCCCTTTGCTGATACAGCATTTTTCCATTGCTAGTCTTTACACTGGGACAAGCCTAACTTTCCCAAACCTATTTCCTTGTCTGTAAAGTGTAACTAACCTGCAGAGGTACAAGAACTCAACTGCTGACTTGCATATTAGCAGCATGGAAGTGATCAGAGGAAATTCCTAAGTGACACATCTGAGTGCTGATGCATATGGAAGTGTGTCTTCAGGCCAGCTCATCTACACACAGATGCAGAGTTATCGCTAAGTAACTTTGATGAGCACAATGATAGTTTAAGCCCAATCATCTACTCTGCAGATGTAGATGATGAAAAGTCTTCACAACTGCTTTGCTGGAGTAGCTAGTTGCCTACTGTAACAAGTTTTCCCATCAAAGCCTGACACTAGACCTACTTCAAATTCAACCACACTTGCTTTCTCAAACTCTGGAGCAATCTTGACTGTTCATTTCCTAACACTTTGCCAAGTTCATGCCTTCTCTCCTAAACGCCAACTTTTTCTTCTAAAAACTTGTATAATAAATGGTTACTAGGAATATTTTTAAAAACTTAAGTTTTTCTGCTTTAAATAACAAAAATAAGGCAAAATTATTGGTAAGAGCCTACTGAAGATCAAGAATCCCTTCAAAATTCAACTACAATTAAATGCATGCATGAATGGACCTTACCTCCCAACTGTCTATAACTCCAGTTCCAGGGCATCTGGTGTCCTCTTCTGCTCTCCATGGGCGGCGCGCACACGCGCACACACACACACACACACACACACACACACACACACACACACACACACACACACACACGGTACATACACAAGCTTACCAACAGAACACTTATAAAAACATGTTCATCTCAGGTCAGCTAGGACTTCGTGGCAAAGAAAACAATTTGCAACCAATTCTACCAATCACCAGCCTTGTCAACAGCAGCCTAGCAGCCGCCAGCTGGCCAGAATTAAAATAGAACAAGTTAATCAACAAAATGAGCAATTAATAACAATGTCAGGTGTATGGCATGCACCTTTAATCCCCCAGCACTCAGGAGACAAGAAGGTCTCTGAGATCAAAGCCAGCCAGAACTACATAGTGAGATCCTATCTCAAAAGAACAAGTAAGTAAATAAAACAGTAAATAACAACTTACCCACTTCAGCAAGCTGATGTCGTTCGAGTGTTAAATTCTTGGGGTCCTTAATAAAATGAAAGGGCTGAATTTTTATTCCTTCAATTTGAGGGAATAATAAAGCAAAACCAGATTCTCCAATTTCTATTTCCTGAGGTCGATTGCTACCTGATCCCATTGGAGTCACTAGAGAGAAAAGGACATTTCAGGAGGCTGTCCAATAGAAACTGCAGTCAGTAAGAGCCTTAATCAACCCACTGTACCCTCCCAACTGCAGGTCAGGCTCTTATCAAACAGTGATCTTAGAGTAAACAAAGTCCCTGGCAATTTTAGGGGGGTGATCCCTACACCGTACTTTCAAATATCTTCAGAAAGAACCGCTTTTATAAACAGAAAAATCAAGTGTCCAAACTGCCTGCAGTCACTGAGTCGAGATGAAGGGAACTGCTGTTCTTCACTTCCGGTTACCTACATGGCTGGCCACAATTGTCTAACTCCAGTTCCAGGGCGTCTGATGCCCTCTTCTGGCCTCCAGGAGCACCAGGCACACATGCAGGCAAACCGCCATACACATCAATCTTTTTAAGTTTCTAGAAACCTGAACCAGAGGGGTGGGGGGTGGTATTCAGAGAAAAACTCAGAAGACAAACCCCACATGATAAGTGTGAATTTAAAACAAGAAAAGGAAGATTCAAGTTTATGACCAGGCCTGTGATGGTGTCTCGCTGGTTACTTGACAGGACATGGGCACTGTGAGGGCTGTAGATCAGGTTGTGATCTCAGGCAGACCATTCCAGAGCCTGGAGTCCTTTGGCCAAGCAGCAGCAGTCACCCTCTGCTCCTTCAGGAAGGACACAGTGTGACCAGCTTCCTCAAGCCTCTGCCACATGACCCCCGCCCCCCAAACAACCCTACAAGCCCAAGAGGGAAACCTCAAGGGTTTAAATGTGTGAGCAGATGCAGGCCGGTCCAAATGAAAACCCCAGCAGAGGGAGCGAGCCATGCCACAAGCCAACATATAAGTACCCAGTAAGCGCACAAAAGGTATTCAGCACAACCAGTCACTAGAGAGCTTCAAAGAAAACACTCAGAAGCATCTTACACGCTAGCCTGGCTAATATTCGTAAGCGGCGACCCAGGAGCAAGGATGTTCAGCAACCACAGCCCTCATACATTGCTGAGTACAGAATGGTAGAAATTTGGAAAACTAGCCACTTCTTTTTAGTTAAATAGACATCAGTGCTAAGACCCAGAAAGTCCACTTCTTAAGTTTCAGAGAAACTTAAAACTTATACAAAAAGTCACAGCCTCATTCACAATACCTAGGACCAGAAAAACCACAGTCTATCAAAACAAGAATGGGAAAATAAATCTTGTCCCATTTATATCATAGAATGACTCAAACACTCAGCCGGTAAAATGTCTGCTGTACAGGCAAGAAGAGCAGAGTCTTCTCCCCGTACCTGACCCCCATACAAGCACTAAGGTCAGGCAATGGGAGAAGCAGAGAAAGGCAAATCCCTGAAGTTCACTGGCCAGCCAGTCTAGTTAAACAGTAAGCCTCAAGTTCAGTGACCCTGTCTCAAAAGAACAACTGAAGAAGATACCTGACAATCCTCTGAGTACCCCATGCGCACGCAAGCGTATGCACGAACACACTCAAGTTTTAAAGGAATTACTGATAAATGTAATAAATGAATCTCAAAAACATGTTAAAAATATTTATATTGAGTGAAAGAGTCAAAACACAAAGAGGACAACCATTTCTATGACACTGACCAGGCAAAACTAACCTAGCACCATAGAAGTCAGAACACGGGTTATGGCAGGGCCTGTCAGGAAAGAATAAAGAAACAGCTAGGCTCAAAGGACTAGCCGTGAAGACCAGAGAGCAGTAAGACCAGTGTCTCAGTCACTGTTCTACTGCTGTGAAGAGATCCCATGACCAAGGCGACTCTTACAAAAGGAAGCATCTAACTTGGGGCTTGTGCAGTTTCAGAGCCTTAGTCCATGATCATCACGGTTCAAGCATGGAGGCAGGCAAGAGCGGTACTGGAGAAGTAGCTGAGAGCTACATCCTGACCTGCAGGCAGAGAAGGAGACTGGGCCTGGCATGGGCTTTTGAAACCTTAAAGCCCATCCCCAATGACAAACTTCTAACAAGGCCACACCTCCTCATCCTTGTAATCCTTTCAAACAGTTCCACTCCCTGGAGAGAAGCACTCAAAAGTACATGAACCTATGGGGGCCACTCTTATTTAAATGACCACAACCAGCATGAAGAGGACCCAGCAAACACTGGAGGCCACACCCTGACTGGAGCAGAGGGAATGGTATTTTAGCCCCAAACATAGAGGACATAAAGTAGCACCAAGTCAAAGCTGCTTCAGAACAGGGCAGCCACTAAAGGAAAGCTGCTACTGCTACCCACTCGCTGGGGAAGGCAGGACTGCCACACAACGCTGGCCTTTCCTTGCCCACCCCTACTCCTATAGCAGAAAACTTAAAAAGAGAGACATGGCTGCGTTCGAGGAAAGCCACAGTGGATATAACGAAAAGACAAGACAAGAGACTCGAGGAATGAGCACTCTGACCCTACGCAGCCTCCAACAGCAATCAGTAATGACATGAGGGCCACCAGCTATTGAAGCCAACCCAGAAGTGCCAAGACAGCCACAGCCACTGCTACTGCCTTAGTCCAGTTACGTAAGGAGCTACATCAGCTTTGCGATAGGAAGCTACCTGCAAGGAGCAAGAGTGGGTGAACTGACCAGACTGGAATGGCTGCAGGTCGTTCCTAATCTGGGGTGGGGAGAATGAGATCCTTCTCTCCCCGTGAGTGGCTAAGGGAAGTCAGGGATTACATGTTGCTCTTGAGCAGCTGTGAGATCTGAACCATGAACCTCAACAACCTGACAGACATTGAGTACAATTAACACCACGACAAGGATGATTAATGCTATTGTTTTTAGGTGACCAGAAATGTAAACGTGCTTTTCAGGTATAAATTATTCACCAATCTATAGGACCCCACATCACACTAAACAAAAAAGGAACTGTCAATCTCTCTCACCTACAATCCCTGAGGTCACAATCTATTGGGCCCCACATCACACTAAACAAAAAAGGAACTGAATTCTCTCACCTACAATCCCTGGGGTCACAATCCCAAGGATCTGACACCGCTTGGGGAACAGCTTCTCCAGGGCAAACGCCGTCTCCATTGTAGTTCTTTTCCTCGCTGTAACAATACAGCAGCACAATTAGCAAATACCCATCTCTCACTGTCAAATCTGACAGTGTTAGTGGTGCCTGCTGCAATCCTAGCACTTGAAGGTAGAAGCAAGATGATCAGAAGTTCAAGATCATCCTGGGCTGTGCAGTCAGTTTTAAGGCCAGCCTGAGCTACACGTGACCTTGTCTCAAAGAAAAAGAAGGAAGAAACGAAGAAAAGAAGGAAGGAAAAAGGGGTGGGGGTTAAAATAAGTGATTTCCCCATTCTCGTGTCCATTGATTCAAATTCTAAACCTACCCTCTGCCATCACCAGTTTGCCTTTGCCCTTTGTTCATCTACTACTTTTACCCAAAGGCATCAGATCTGCCTCAGCACTGAGTCTGAGAGGTGGTATTTACTGGATCTTTCTATTCAGCTCATGTCACAGCACTACTACTACTTGACTCCAGTCAGTCAGAATCAAGTCAGACAATGTCCAGAGCAAAGTCTAGACCAAAAGGCCCCATCTTGTATTCTCGGTCTCTATTTCCCCTTAGCAAGCCAAGAACGCATAGTGTCTGTAAACAGCTTTGGAACCTCGAAGCACTGCATTATACATGAACAGGTTTGGATAACCACAGCCAGGCTCTCGTTTTAATAAAAAGACGTACACCTGGAAGGTTAAAGTATTCCAAAGCAAGAACATCTTTCTGAAAACCTTGTTCCAGTTGTACAGGAGGTGAGACATCAATCTGCACACACAGGGTTCCTCGGTTCGAGCCGGACACAGGCTTGTGTACTAGGAGCGGAGCCCAAAAGTCTCAGAAGGCTTGCTCTCAGGACTGGGACAATGTCAAAAACAAAACAACAACAAAAATGCAACCCTTGGCCGGGTGGTGGTGGCACACGCCTTTAATCCCAGCACTCGGGAGGCAGAGGCAGGCAGATCTCTGTGAGTTCGAGGCCAGCCTGGTCTACAGAGCGAGACCCAGGAAAGGCGCAAAGCTACACAGAGAAACCCTGTCTTGAAAAACAAAAAACAAACAAACAAAAAAAATGCAACCCTTTTCTCTATATATACCTCTTTTACGGCCACGACACTCTTCCAGGCTAATGAAAGTTTCAGAATCTGCCATATAGAGAACTGTCCGTGGTAGGATGCGAACATTCTGCAAAGAAAAAGAGTGTCTGAATGCTTCTGTGCTCCCCAAGTATGTCCCAGTGCACCAGAGCTGCTGCCTCCCTCCATCCCGAGTCCTCTTCCTTCTCATGGGTCACTGCTACTCTTGTCAGCTTACTTACGGAGTAGGAGGGGTTTTTTTCATGTCAAACTCAAGAAGTTCATTTACTCTTTTAGAACAGACATTTGGTGTACCAGTTAAAGCTGCCTCTCACTTTACTGAACAGGCACAGCAATAAGGAGGCTCCCAACAGGGGATGGGGGGGTGCACAGGCTGCACCCCTCTGGCTTCCGCTGCCAGCTCCCAGTTTACTATGCCCAGACCTGCCCACACTTGAACAGATTCCCTAGCTACCGAGCACCTTCAACTTGTTTCCGTTAAGGTCCCTAGAGCAAACCTCCCAATGTCTGTTCCTAGAAGCCACACCTTCGGTACTTGGGACGTCCATGTGACATCCTTACAGCCCCGCCATTCTTGCTTGTGTTCTGTTTCCACTGAGCAGGCTTCTTCAGACAAGTGTCAAAACAGCTAACTAAATGGAAGGAGAGCTTTCTCTCAAGTATTCTATCAGAATGGAATAAAGACCATGGAGCACAACTTCACTGCCTTGCAATCTGGGGGAGGTCTAGATGTTTCAGAGTAGGTTCTAGATAAACTCATGAAAGACACTGAATACTGTGGTGTGGGGTAAGACCCATGACCTATGGATACAAATTCTTGGTTTCACCTGACATTTTTTAAAGTAACTAGTTGCCACAATTTAAAATTCCACACAATTTTTACATATTTTGGGAAATCTTTTTTGACAAAACTGTGGCAACACTCAGACTGCTTGCCTTTCAGCTATGGCTAGGCAGACCTGCCAGCACCACCAACGCTGCTGAATGACTAGACCCATTCTCATCAGTGGGTTATTTTCAGTCTGCAATTCTGCTGAGTGAAGGAATCAGGGCCTGGGCCTGCCTCAGCCATAGCCAGCAGGGTAACTTTCACCAAGTAGTCAGCCTTTAAGCATCCTATGTTTAAACAAATACACAAGCCTTGTCTTGGAGTCCAAGATTCTTTCTTTCTGGCACTCACACAACTCCATTTCCCCTCCTAATTCTCACTAGAAACTGACCACGACAAGCCTCCAAATGAAACACTCACTGTAGTATGAGGCACCTGGCACTACACTATTCAAAGAAGTTACAAAGGGCAAGCTGTCACATAAAAGTTCAAAGTATTTCTAAGAGGAAGTTAATCAACTTCCCTTATATCTATTAAAATACTCCATCCACGAGATGATTTGGAAAACACAGAGAAAGCAGCATATATGACTTAGACAACATGCTTCTGTCTCACCATGAGTTTATCTGTTTAAGGCTACTACTATATGAACTTTAATAGTGACATTATGAGAGTTCTTAACATCCATTGAAAATTTATAGTCGGATACCGTAACATGTTATATGCATTACCTTTTTACCACTTAATCCTTACAAGAACCCTGTAAGAATACAAGAGAATTATTGTTCTCACTTTTCAATGGAACCTAAGGCTCAGAGAGGTCAAAGCCAAATTGCTACCTTGAGCCAAAATATGGGTTATCATTTAAGACTCTCTGTAGATAACAACCACTACAACGTATGAAACTCACAGCCATAGAAGAATAATGCCCACTGTGGTAAAAAGTTGCAAACAATCACAGGAAGTTTAAAAGGGCATTAAAAAACAAAAACAAACACACACAATCCTATTCCCCACAGGAACTTTTACTAACATTCTAGCTTCTTTATGAATCTTTCTTTATATTAATCTAGATTACACTAAATAATCTAATGTTTCCAACATTTTAAAATTTTTATTTCTTGTGTATATGTCTAAGTGTGTGCCATGCATGTGCAGGTGCCCTCAGAAATCAGTTGTAGCTACAGGCAGTTTTGACCCACTAATGTGGGTGCTAGGAACTGAACTTGGGTCCTCTGGAAAAGCAGCAGACTCTTTTAACCATGAAGCCATCTCACCAGCCCCTTAATGAAGCTTTTCTCATCACTGAATGTACCTTGTGATTTATGATTTAATCACTTCTTTTATGAATCAGCAGGTTGTTTTAAGCTCCCTCGCTGTACATGAGACTCCAAAGAACACTTCTGTGGAAAATGCTTTGCTAGTATTTTGAATTTTCCCAAATAACAGATTTTTAAAAACAGTGACTGTAGGGTTTTGATCAACGTATCAGAGAGAAACAATACTCCAACAGGCCTGGGAGATGCTAGCCAGCTTTCTGGGTATAAGTTCAAGAGTCCAAAGAGCAAAGAAGAAAGCCTCTACAAGACAGCATGGAACCGAAGACACATACTCGGGACAGGCACATTAAAGATGACAGTCAGAGCTGGAGACCCTGGACAGATCAGAGTGACTGCTGTTCTTTCAGAGCACAGATTCATACAACTCACAATCAACTGTTAACTCCAGCTCCAAAGGATACGATGCATTCTTTTGTCCTCCATGGGCACCTGCACATATACAGACAGACAGACAAACAGACACACACACACATACACACAAATAAAATCTGGTTTTGGTTTTTTTTGTTTGAAGAGCCAGGTTTCCCACCATCAAAAAGGGAGATATAAATATGAGCAAAGAAGAAGTGAGACAAAATCTTATTTGGGTTGGATGCACGTAAGGGAACTCATGAGTTTCCATGTACTAACAGAAATATAGTTCCAGATACACATATGGTCAGCTCTCTCTGCATCTCTCTCTTCATTCAAGGATTCAAATGTGGCTATTTAAAAAAACAAAAAATGGGGGAGGCATCTGTACTGAGTATGTACAAACTTTTCCCTTGTTATTATTTACTAATATAGCCAACTTAGAGAAAGCAGGTATTAATAATCTAGAGATCTGAATTTAAATGTGAGGCTGGGTTATACAGGTTAACACAAATACTATGCCACTTTATGAGGGACTTCAACACGGGGCAACTAATACCCTGACAACACGGAAGAGCTGCATCTGCATATGCATATACATACACTTATACATATACATACACATATACACACATACATACACATATACATACACATACACATACATACACATACACATGGGCTATCTGAGCTAGAAGCAGCAAACTCTAAACCAGTGAGTATTTACACAGTACAGATCTTAGATGCTAAATACCATTTCCCACTAAAAGAAACCAAGACTATTAGAGAAACCACTCATTTCTTGAATGAAACAGGCAAAAGAAAAGCTAAAAACATCTGGTACCAAAAAAAGGCCATCCCTAAAAGACAGTGAAGCTGGATTGGGAGCTCACTCGCCAAACCAAAGACAGTGTGAGCACAAAACAGATACAGTAACAGATAAATCTCTGAACAAGAGACAACAGCATATGCAAATAGGAAAACCAGAGGCCACAAGGAAAGATGCTGGGAGAAGAACACACCCTTGCTTTCCCATCATTCCTGACAAAGATACAAAATTATCTAATAAGCCTCAGTCACACTCAATTTGTGAATGTTCTACAAATTAACTGACCTTGAATTTTCTTAAGTGTTGAGGCTGGTAAACTAAACAAATCAAAGAAACGTGCTTTTTTTAGTGAAAGTCACTGGGAATTGAATACTTTTGCTATCAAGAACAGTACTGGGGCAAAATCTGAATGGGAGGCCAAAAACTAGACAGTAGTATGTTTGAAGTCTCTTACTGAAGGATGTATTTGTTCCTATCAGCTTTTATTTTGGTGCTAAAATTATTTCAAATTTGACTAGTGAGAGTCCCTTCAGGCCAGCTTCAGAGGTCTTTCGAGGTAGTGCATTATCTTAGTTTAGTTTACTATTTGGCTTACATATCCCTGGTGACAGTCCACTAAAGGAAATCAAAGCAGGAACCTGGAGGCAGAACTGAAGCAGAAGGCTTGCTCAGTGTTTTCATATACCCCAGGACCACCTGCCTAGGGGTGGTCCAGCCCACACTGGGCTGGACCTTCCTTCTCACACCAAATATTAGTCAAGAAAACTCCCTACAGACCCGTCTACAGGCCAATCTGATGAAGACACTCACTTGAGGTTCCCCATTCCCAGCTTGTGTTAAGTTGAAAAAAAAAAAACAACAACAACAAAAAAAAAATCTCTAATCAACACATGCATTGATGATAAATTCCCAAGCTGGAGGCTGCACTGTGGTTGAAGAGAACTTTCATGTTTGCATATTATACATACTAAGGGATAAAGAGTAACAGACCATCAAATTGGCCATTTCTTCTCAAGGGTCTCTGCCACTCACTGGGATACCGGAGCTTCACTATCAGCTCTATAATCTGTCTTTACCTCCCCATACTTTCCTGGATCCAGGGATACAAATGAGAAAGGACTGTGGCTTAAGTATTTAGGTAGAAGATTTAGTTCTTCTAGTGTGTGACCCTGGGCAAAAATGCCTTCTTTGAAAACAGAGACAAGTGAAGGAAGGGTCTGCAGAGCGTTTTAACAGTGAACACCTGTAAACTTCAACTGCTCAATATCTAATAACGAATAAACCGCAGCACGCCCTTACAAAACCTGACACTATCACAAAGTCTTTCCAGACCACGAGCAAAGGCCCCCAAATTAACAAAAGCAAAAGCATGTATCACAATCGTGATTTAAAAAAAAAAAAAAAAAAAGTTTTCAAAGATGGCCCACCAGCCCTGCAAATGACTGTCCGCGGCGCACACCCATACTTGCCTCAAGCGCCTCTGCTACCACGCGGACCAAGCAATGTCCTTCCAGGTTGCCGGCCTCCGCCACGCCCGTGATCCAGGTCACGCTGCGGTGGGTCCGCAGCACTCTGCGCACACACTCCCTCCATAGGCGGCACACTCTGGGGACGCAAAAGCACAAAAGGTTGCCGCCGGGCGGGTCGTTCCCGCCGTCAGCAGCGCTGCAGCGGCCGAACGCCAGGAGACCCGTGCAGGGGTCCCGGTCTGGGCAAACCCGCCACCCACGGGGACGAAAGTCCCCTGCCCCATTGGCCCTCACCCGGCTACCCGCAGCAGCGCCTTGGCAGGCAGGAAGGTGAACACACGCTCCACCACCTCCGCGAGGTTACTCAGCACGTAGGTACTTCGCGGGTCAGTAGAGGAGGAGCCGCCGCCGCCCACCAACTCCATTCCTCGCCTACCGGCCAGAAACCCTACGGAAGCTCGGAAGAACCCGAGCAGCCGGCACACCACCGCCCACCCGAGCCCACTGCGCAGGCGCGCGCGCCACTTCCGGCGGGCCGCTTCCGGCACTGGATTTACAGCAGCAGCGGTGCGTCGAGTTGTAACGCCCGCAAAGTTCCGCCCGGAAAGGAACGGTGCAACCTGGCCATTGGGCCGGCTGCAAGCATTCGATTTATTCGGTGAGTCTGGTTAACACGTTAGCCCTTAAGTTTTAAACGAGTTAGCATTTTAAATAGCACTCCCCATTCTTTGGCCACTAACTGTAATTGCTGCTAGAAGCACAGGCCAAACCAGACCTATTTTCACATAGGAAGTATTATGCTTTGACACGTACTAAATCTTCAACCCGGAGCTACTGAATCACAGGGAACGAGGCCCAACAATCTTAACTCTCCGGTGGTTCACGTACCTATTCCGAACCACAAACGAAAACAACAGTAAGCGCAGCTTCATTCCAACTGAATACAGTTGCTTCCTGATTGAGGGGGCTTTGGTCCCCAGCTACTTGGTCTGGCCTGGTGCTTCTTGTTTTGGCCTCATGACCCTTTACGCTGTTATATTTACCTATTAGAACATTTTGGATTGGGCATGGTGGTTCATGTCTGCAATCTAGCAAGCTGGAGGCAGGAGGTTCACAAACTAAAAACAATCTGGACTCCCCAACCCCAAAATATTTTAACATAGGATAACCAAAACACGTTAACAACTTGGTATTTTTTTTTAATGGAGGAAAAACTCTTAAGAACTCCCCATCCCTCAATAACAAACTGCCACTTTGCTCTGAAAACCTTATAGGTACTTAATAGCAAACACATAAATGCCATACAGTCTCCAAAAACTCCACTGTACACAGGGAATGTGTGACAACTCAAATGCTTTCTGTTAATAAAAACCCCAGCAGGTCTCAGGGTCTCCTAGAGTCCTACTTTCAGGACTACTGGCCCCAAACTACTCTATGGATCCATTGGCAGGGAGGAGGCAGCGACACATGATAAGGACTAGGGGAGGCCATGTGGTTAAGTGGAGGACTTCCAAAGATTTTCACACCTAAGGGGACCTTCAGAGAGGGCCACTGTTTCTGAATGAAGTAGGGTGGACAACATCCAGACATAACATTTAAACCAAAGATGAAACTAGCATGGGAAATTTCAATCAAGAAGAGACAAAGGGTATTATCCAAACATACTGGGCCTAGAGCTTTCCTCCCTCGGTGATTCTTACAAGATACACTGATAGTGGTGTGTATAAGGGCCATGAGCATAAAAGTGCTAGTAATATCTTGAGAAAATTAGGGATATTAATTCAAATAGCACTGGAGCCACAAGTTCCCAGCCAGCCAGCCTGGGCTGGAGAGTGGGATAGTCAAAAACAAAAACAAAAACCCACAACAACAAACAAAAAACCCCAAACCCACATGTATGTGAATTTAAAGAACGTAAAGGGAATGGCTAAAGAAAAACTGAGTGCACTACGTGTGTAGTGCAATTCTCTAGGTTTCCTGCCTCTCATTAAATCAATCTCCATCTCCGCCCCTGAAACCTCCCCACACCCCATTTCTCTTAAATACCCTACACTAGAACTTCAATAGAGCCTAAAGACACCTGAATCATAACATTTCTTATGAGGGAAAGGTGACAAAGCAATTTTTAAATGGTTCTTTATTCATAAACTTGATGCAAGTTTACAAAATTTACTGTACATTGCCAAATAAATCTGCAATGAAAAATAAAATCCAAAAAACAAAGCATGCCAAATGTGCAGCTGTCAATCTGCTAGCCATGAGGATATGAAAGAATTCAACAATGTATTCAAGATTCTGCCTTAGGCTTAAGGAACTTTATAATGCTTTGAAGAATTCTGCCTTGCCACTTGTTATCTGAGCACTGGCAATCATTTAAAGGTAACCAAGGGAGCAAGAATACCAGGTATCTTCACCTGTCCTCTTAACCAACAGAACAGAATCAGGAGAAATTAAAAACACATACAAAATGCACAAGTGCCAAGTTTCCTGAATGTGGTTTACAAAGTTAAAAAAAAAAAAAGAATCACAAATCAAGTGTATAAGAAACACCTTTTGAGCTGGGCAGTAGTGGCGGACGCCTTTGACCCCAGCACTCCTCTGTGAGTTCGAGGCCAGACTGGTCTACAAAGCAAGTTCCAGGACAGCCAGAGCTGTTACACAGAGAAACCCTGTCTCGAAAAGCAAAAACAAAAACAAAAGGAAACAAGCTTTGTACTGGTTTGTGCAGGAAAATGTGCTTCTGGGTTTCTTTTTAAAAGTGCTTAATAGCTAGAGTTTATACTTAAATCAAATTCAGAATTTAAAAAAAAAAAAAACTATTACCAACCAAAGAGGACTGATTCACATAAGGCAAAAATGGGAAGTACATTGATTTGTGTCACATTTTATAAAAGAATTAACATATGCTGAATCCCTAACTGGTCTTCTGATGTAAAAGCCACTGGATGACTACAGCAAAAAATCTCAGGGTCTCCAATTTAGGTGTCTTTTATACTTCTGCTCAAGGAGTCTGTCTTTGTGCCAATCACTTCACAAGTTTATTAGTTTATCAATAATTGCAACACCCCGTTAATAAGTAGGAAGGTAAAATGACCTCATACTTCAGGCTCTACACTGTGGCTCTTCCCAAGAAATGTTGAACCAACAGGAGGCAGGTTCAGCCCAGCAGGACTCTGCCATCCCAGTGGAAATTACTGCTCACAAATGGCTGGCTCACTTTGCTTTACTTAATATGATACAATACAACTAAGATCATACTTCCAGAAACAGTTCAGACCTTCACACAACCATGAAAAAGTTAACAATTTAATGAAGAGGCTTCCTGTCATAATTTTGGCAATAAAAAGATTTCAGACCTGAAAACACTATGGTTTAGAAGACCTAAAATTCCTAAACCAGTATTGACCATCAGTTAAACTTTTATTGGCTCTAAACGAACAGGATTTTGCAAATCTTCATACCCCATAGGCTCAATATAGGAAGGTTACTGTAAATTCACAGCTGCAGTAAACTGATGCTGACTTCCCTGCTTGCTTAAAAGATTTCACTTTTCAAGAAAGAGGTGGTAGGGAGTGGCTATTGTGTGTACTTATCAGGAAAAATACAGTAAAGGCCCCACTGTTCAGTCCAAGATACCTAAAGTGAGCAAAATGAAAAGGCTGTATCTGGATGTCAGTTGACAGATTATCCACTAAATGATCTATTAGCTAATGTCTTCGGTACTGCTGTTATACGGGCACTCAAAAGCTTATGTCTGCACGTTGGAACGATTTTCTTTAAAGCAACATTGGTCCAGACATATGTCAGCGTAGTTAGCCATCTTCCTTTGGAGGTGTATACCAGCCTGAAATAAAATGGAAAAAACATTAACTACTTCAGTCCTTGAAGCAACTAGGAAAAGGCACTCCTAAGATCAGGTCCAGTCTCTACTCATAATTTTGATGTTTAACACTTAAGTGATGTAGAAACTTAAACTTGCTTTTTTGTTATTAATCTAGCATTCTGATATGTTCACAGTATCAAGTCACTGTTTATGAATAAACGACACTTGAGTTTTCAGCATCTCTATATGAATGGTATACCTAGCTGATAATGACAGTATGGAATAACAGTAGTCACATGCTAACCTTCCATTTCAATTTTGCATTTAAAAGAAACCTGGCAATTAGAATTAAAAAAAAATTAATAGTCATCATATTAAAATTCTAGCTTTTTAAGGCAGTCCATCCCAGAGTCAGTAATCTCATAATGTATGTCCAGACATCAAGTTACATGTGATAAGCACACCATTTTATCTGTCAATTTAAAACAAATAAAAAGATGAAAATTTTTGGAAACATTTTAAAATTGCCATCTCTGATTCTGAATCCACTGCTCTTTCATCAATGCAGGGCTTACACACACACACACACACACACACACACACACACACACACACACACACACTCTTTCTATAAACATCTTTGAATGCCAATTGTAGGTTTTGCCTTAAGAGAGAAAAGAGGAGCAAACATGACTGTTGCTCATACTCCACACAAGTCTAAACTCTCCTAGAAAGGCAGTTAGATGCTCAGTCATGCCTGGTACAAAGCAAGCATTGGAACATACTCATCTGATAAACTAGAAGTGATATTATGAAAGCCTGGACTTAACCTTATGTTGTAAGACCTTCCTTTGAAGCCTCAAGATTTGGTTTTGAATATTATTTCTATAAGGAATCACTGACAAAGTGTCAAGTTGGCATTGTCATTAAAATAAAATTGAGTGCAAGATACAAATCTAAACATACAAACTAACATACATATGTGTGTACACCTACACTTGAGTGTGCATAGGCCAGAGGTCAACATCCTGTGTCTTCCTCAATTGCTCTCCCCTTTTTTTGGACACAGGGTCTCAAGCTGGAGCTCAATAATTCAGAGAGCCCCAGAATCGTCCCTTCCCTGTCTCCCCAGAGGTGGGATCAGAGTCCTAACTAACATGTTTCTAGAAAGTTAGGACCATTGACTACAGATGCCTACCTACCCTAAGGAGACTCCTTCCTTCTGCTCCACACAAAGGCCTTTCATTTCCCTCCGCTGCCACAACGACTTCTTTGTTCAGAGCACCTGTTACAAAGTGCTCTGCAGAGGCACTATTCTTTTTCCTCATGTTTATTAACAGACACTGCCAACTTTAGAGATGAGGAAACTGGGGTTCAAAGAGACCACAGAGGCTGGTAAAATGGCTCAGCAGGTGAAGGTATTTGCCACCAAGCCAGACCATCTGAGTTTGATTCTCAGAACCCACATGGTGTGTGTGGTGGCAAACACATACACACAAAACAAGTATTTCTTTTCTAAATGAATCACAGGACTTTTTCAAAGTCACAGAGCTAAGAAGCCACATAAATGGCACTTGCAAATAGGTCTTCCAAGCCAGGCTAAGTACTAGTACAAGTACTAGTTTCTTGTACACTTCTCTGGAAGATTTTGCAAGGACATTCATGCACAGCTGTTGTCCAAAGACTTAGCCTGT